TTTCGTCTATCAGGTGTAAAATTCGTGCAAAGTAGTAATGTCTAAACAAATTAATAGTTTGGATCCAACAAATTTCATTCTTTTTACTCCAATTTTTTCTTTTCTTCCACCTACAAATCCTCCCGAAGTCCTCTTTCTTTGTGTGATGTATGTTTTGAACCCGCTATGACTTGAACTCACGAGCTGCACGTAGGCTTAGTCAGTTATGCAATTGCAGAGATTGAGCCTTAGAGCCAGATACATGAGTTCTCTATGTTGCCTTTGGCACGTGGGCTGGATTTACTCTGGACTTTGTTGGCCCCTGTTCTGTTTGCATGGATGGTATTTCATAACAATGCATTCCATGCATCTGCCCATCTCTCAATATTTTCGTTCCAACGACAAGTACTTTGAATAGGAGGGCATGAATTTAACGAAGCAGGAGTGAAAACAGATGTAGAGATGTCAGATTCTCCAACTTGCCCAGCTTTGAAGGTCTCTAGGGCGTTTACCAGTCTTGATTCATAACCAAACTCTGGAGCTCATCCCCTCCAACGTACAGGAGTACGAAATGTGCTAACTGACGCAAATCGCGGCTATCTGTCGGCAGTAATTACTTCTGCGGACAGATAGCCAAAAGAAAATCTTGCGTCAGAAGACATGAGAACCTCAAACGCAGATATGAAGTCGAATGTTTATTTGTTACTCGACATATTACTGGAGAATGTAGAATTATCAGATTCTCCAGCTGCCTAACTCTGCAGGAATATTGCCCATTACTATTATTTTGACTCAAAAGCAACTCGTGCATTAGGCGACATGAACCTTAAGGTGCAGGGATTTTGTCAATGAGGTCATATTCCAATCGATACAGGAGTACCAGATCAGATGATCCAATTAGGGTAACCCTTCTAGTATGTGATCAGTCAAATGAATCGCACGCAAATCCAACACGTGCATTAGATGACATGAACGCAAAGGACGAACAGAGTTTGCCTTTTAGCTCATCGCCCGAAAGATATAGTATCCGCAGATGCTCACACTGGCCCATCTCCGCGGGTATCTAACATGTGAAATAGTTCTCATTCAAATCCAACACGTGCAGTAGAGGACATGAATCCAAAGATGCAAAGATACTAGCACTGAGCTCATAGCCCCAAAGCTATGGATTTACGTCATACTCGAACCAGCCAAGCATTTCCGGTATATCTTCTGCTAACTGTTGTTGAAATTCTATTTGCATTGAAAACATGAACCCAAAGACGAAGTGAATTTTGCACACAAGTCCTGCCTTGTCATATGCAAGGTACATGTAGACCCGGAGAATAGTGCAGCGATTCCATCGTCCTCTCAAATTTTGAAGTCTCGATGCGGAAGTGGTTCTCCGAATTCAGAAGATATCTGATTATGCAGCTCAAATAATGGAGTACTTTATAAAGCCAACAGTGATAAATGATAACAAACCCAAAATTTTACAGAAGATTAAAACTTTTGATGTTAAATGACTAAAGCACGAGTTAGACAGATCTCAGAAGGGAAGAACAAATAAATACAATTGGAAGATCAACCACAGATCAATTCTCACCTTGAAATAAGACCTATCAAGACCTTTTAAACTCGCTTGATAGTATTCACCTGTCCTTATATTCTTATTGGGTTCAAATGTTATATCGGACACCTAACTTCAGATTTCAGCATTGTCATGAGCAGAATATGCTTATGACTTTACCATTATCAACTGTCCAGCCTGATCTATCAAGTTGTTACTATGCATTCTGGCCTTAATTTGCAAGTACATTACAGTATAACTTAAGCTCTCTGTCGTCGGACACAAGTGTAGAAGTTTCAGAAGAGAGTAAATATTACAGCAAATAAGCGATTGATAGGAAAGAGTTCCAACTTTTTGAGATTGAGAATCTGAGATCATTTGTCAAGAAGGAAAGTAACTGTCGGGAACGAGAGGGCATTACAAGTATTTGGTTCGCTGTAAGACCGTATTTTCATCTACAAGTCTTCGCGTTTTCCCGTCTTCAATGATGAAGCAGGGCACCTGTGTATGGAATCTTTGCCTGAAATTCGCTTCCCAAGAAACATGCGCCACTGGAGTTCGGTCAGCTGTTGTCGGCAGTAGTAGCGTTACTAGCAAACAAGAGTTTGTGGACACTGGAAAACTACAACAACCTTCAAGAATGATAGAAGTTTTGTTAGACACGAATTATGGAAGGCTCTGAGAATACACCCAGAACTTCCTGGGATTCCAGTGAAAGAACGCATGAACACACCTAACAATAAACGCTTTGTCAAGAGCAACATTCCACATTTCGAAAGGTTAATAATTCCAAGTCGAAGGCCCTCGGCAAAGGATCAGTGAGAGTGTTAACCAGTTACTTCGCTCAGTGTCTGTACTGGCTGCATCCACAGTCTTGGGACTATCTTCTGTTCTTTATGTGGCCTCTAGATTATGCCTTGGACCGATACAGAACCTTCGAGACAGAGGAATCTCCAAAACGCTACACAATTGCTTCTTACGAGAGCATCAAACATTCCAGAGGTATGTTGTGAGCGTGGCTCTGGAAATGCAGACGGTGAAGATCCGCTTTTTCCCACGATCAGCTTCAGCAACGTTGAAAATGATTACTGCGAAGGAATATGTCCATGCCTGCATGCATTTCCTTCCATTACAGCGTCATCGATAGGACGAATACAATAGATTTTCCTCTCTGTAAGCAGACGAATGTAAAGGCCGTGGAAAGATTATCTATACATTATGTGGCTTTGGAAGGCCACATCGTAGAGAGGACAATGTATGAAGCAACACCACACAACTGTAGAGCAGGACATTCATGGTGAAACAGAGGGGACCTTTTGTATGGGAATTAAAATTCAGGATTCAGCTGGCACGTAGGCATTGAAAACACCTTATTGTGGCACTCGTTCGTAGACCCGTGACATGCGCTTTTGGTACAGAAAAACGAAATTTACCAATGCACCAAAAGAAAAAATCGCTGCATTTCCTTTATATTTTATGAGGGAAGATTAGTTGTGTGTTACAATTATGATTAATAAAATGTTATGATTAAAAGCTTTCATCTTCAATGCAATAATATCATATATTTTAAATCATACTCAGCATTGTTTCAAACAATTATCTTCTAGTTATGGAATTTTCCTCTCGAGTACTCTTGATATTTTCATATACTTTTTAACCTCTAAAAACTTACATGTATTATTTTCACGATGGCTACATTATGATAAAAATGATATGTTAATAATCATATAGCCAAGATCACAGCTGTTTTTTTTCTATCTGTGAGATTTTAGAGAATCTTTCACCTGAGTTATCCAAGTCCACTACCTCCTGTCTTTCTGTCTCTTAAGGCCCTTGAGAACCACTCTAGTTCCATATGCCTGAACGATTTGCAGATTAACAGGAATATTTATGTGGCTTCTTGCAACACACAAGGAAACTTCTTCGGACCACGAATCCTTGTCAAATGGCTTGCTTGGTAAATATTCGTGGCTTGCTGGGAGATGTCATAACATGCGGAACCTTCATCATAAATTCGAAATTTCCCAACTCTCGTATGTCAATATTTCTTCAAGGAAAGAGATTAATCAGTTATCCTTTCAGTCATCTCGTTTCGACCTTTCATGAACAAACTGCCAGTGTGGTAAATCACGAGCGCCAATATCCGAACTTTGGATCCTTCCGAAAGCTTTTGGACGAGGGAGGTAGATTGAAACTTATCAACATGACACTGAAATTTAAGCATGACACACATTTCGATGCCCGTCATCAACAGCGATGAAAACTGGTGAGTGCAATCGCGATCTCGTCCCAAATACAATCCAACAACAATTTACACAGACCAAAGACCGAGAACTCTCTTGGACGAGACTATTCCTCGAGGTTCAGTTTCTTTGTTGAAACTGCTTGCCAGAACGGACCCTTGCAGGTACTCAGCAGACTGGGAAATGGGCCAACTTTCCCCGCCGATGGCATAGTGCGCCATTAGATTTATTGTAAAAAATACAACAGATGACATCATAATCATTTCTCCATGGCAAGTGTGGTCTTCAATCTGGTCAAAAAGCTTAGCTCATATTTATTTTTTGGATAATCACCTCTCTGCATCTGGCCTCGAGGGTCGAGGGCCGAAATCTACCAGATAAACTTCTAAGAGGCAGTGAGCTTTCTTGATGCCATGCTGATGAGTAAAGGAAAAGGAAGAAGCTTCGAAACCGTGGACAGAAAAAATGTGCAAATACTCTGGCTCATAGTATTCTGGCCTTGTAAGCTTGGATGATTCAAGAAAATTTTGAGTCTCTGGATCTATCACGGATCATGTGTCGGTTTCACCGGTGTTCTTTTTCATGAAGGATGCCAACCTTGCAATGATTTCCGTGGGCCGAATCAAGATGTAGCCCACTGTGGGAAAGAGGAACCACTGGGCACGAAATCTCTCCTCGGTGATCGATCTCTACATCCTGATAAGAGAATACGTAATACACTCGTTTCGGACACACGGACTCGTGTGTCTGAAACCAAAGAGCTATCTTTAAGTGTCTTTCTTAATTAGAATTGAAAACTTGATTAACTACTCACCTTACGAGGCTTCTGTAAATATTACTGGGTGCATTTGTAACAGTTTCAATATATTACCTCTAGAGAATCAAAAGAACTGATTTTAAGTATGTCAACTTCTGCCTATCTACTTGAACTCATTTCTTAAATATTATTTGACGTTTATTTGATCTCAGAAATTTTGAACTTACAAAAGGTCACGGCTGCAAACATCAATGAATAGCTTTGACTCGCAATGTGTGGAAATGGGATGGAATGTGTAGAATGGGGATGTTAGACAGAACAATCTTACTTAAAACTGCAATTTTACGTCCAATGCAATTCAACATAGTTTGATAGCTCTTGATTTTCTTTTATCTCGTCTGTTAGCTTCTGACTCTAATAAAATGAAGTTTGACAAGACACAATGAACCTGAAAGCAGGACAGACTGAAGAAGTTCATATGAGCTCACATGAAATATTGCCATGTGTCACATAGTAGACTTTGAGTGTAATGATCCTTCAAACTTCTTGGTTGTAAGATCCCAGCAATTATGAACATGATCCGCCACAAAGGAAATGCTTCAGTGGAGTTAGAGTTCTGATTCAGGTCTACTTGAGAGTTGATTGGCCTGTTGAAATGTCCACAACGTTATCACCCTTCTACAGTTACTAGGTCTTAAAACGCCCCGAGAAACACCGAACAGCCCCTTGTCAATCTACTGCACATCAGCCAGTGACGGCTGGAAGGATATTACCCTTATTGAATTCGTCTCCCAATGCCAGAATCTTGCTTCATCGTCCACATGTTCAGGCAACCACTCCCACGAGCCTTTTTTAACATTGTGAGCTACAACAGCCAGTTTCACTCCCTTATTCGTCAATCTTTTCACTCCGTCCTGCTTGCAAACACACTCCAAGCCAACGAAGTACATATTGTCTCCCTCTCCTATGCAACGAATCTCCCTGTATATGGGTGCGGACATGACTGAAAGATTGAGCCGCCGGTACACATCTTTAGGCATTTCTCCGATTTTCTCCCACTCTTTCCCCAAATTTTTCTCCATTCCCTCATCATTCTTCTTGAAGAAACACCAAGAGAGACTGTCCTCACGCGAGGTTAAGGTTCTAGCCACGTAAATCAGATGGCCTCCCGATTCCACCAAGCGTGGGCTGTCTGGACCAATATGAACTGGTAAAGTGAGAATCTCACTCCACTTGCCCGACGATGGATCGTAGCTACCAATGATGGGGTGCATGTGCCTGTCCAGAAATCTGGGCTTTCTCAAATAGTACAAGCTTCCCTTGTGTGAAACTGCGGAGTAGATGCAATATGGATCGGTTTTTGGACCAGGTACCACGCTCCAGGACCTTGACTTCGAGTCGTATACAGAGTGTAGAGGATCGTCCTTAAATGAGACTAGTAGCTTGTAGTGGAGGTGTTGGTCATCGCAAACCACCCACACGTGACCACCTCGACGATTATCTGGTAGCTTCAAGAGATTGGACTTCTTTGTAAGCGGGTTGCAAATTATGACAGAGTTTTCCATTTCCGAATTCTCACGAAACGCACAAAGCAGAAAAAGCAAGCCCGATCGTCCTCCGGTGATGAAACGGCATTCCGTCAATACCCTCTCACCGTCTGATAAAAGAGGTAATAAGAATATCAGATCGATGGAAAGCCACTCTCTGGCTTTGTCATTGTAAGCGGAGATGGAAGCCAGGCTGAAAACATCAGAACGAACGATCAGAGGCAGATTGTGAGCAAATTTTCTCGAAGGATGCAGTTCAGTCAAGATCAGTCTGTTCCAGTTCTTGCACACCGTCCGCCACCTCAAAAGGTCCTCGAGAGGAACTCTCTTGATGATGGCATCGTTGATTTCATGGGGTAAGAACAACCACAACTCAGACAGAAGATCGATCTGCTTCATCTTCTTACATCTTTGATCTTTCTTTCTGCCCTCTTTTTCAGAAGACCGACCACCCTCAGCGTTTGACGGTCTCATGGGACTTCCAGAATCAAGTTTCAGGAGCCTAATTCCATAAAAGTTTGGGAGCTCACGAAGTTGCAAATATCAGCCAAAATGCCAGCATGAATTAGTGGAACTCTGTGAAGCCATGCGATTCAAATAGTTCTCGGTAATGAGGTAATGTAGTCCAGTAGTGTGGAAACGCGTTGCACTCTCGTCTTAGTTCCAAGAGGGAAAGTTTATCTGACAACAATCCACTTGACTCACCAGAATGCATCAAGTTGAAGTTGAGACTGCATCATCAACATAATCCTCATTCTGCCAACTGGTGCTGCTATGGTGTAGCAGTTGTAATCATAACGCTTCTTCTTGTAAGGCTAATACTTCACCGACTGGCGGCGGAAGATTTTTAAATTTTTTTAGGCTTGAACATGTCAAAATACTTCTGGCTCCTTCCATCGAAATTCTATGAAAGCAATTTGGCACACTCTTGGAACATAAGAATTCAAAAAAGTGTTCTAAAAAATGTATTCAGAAGATGTGCACTAGCCCGATCTCGCTTGAACTACAGAAACATGTGCCGTGACTCTCATCAGCTGATCAGAAAAGTTTCAGCGTGAAGGGCCGTCCGTGTTCAAGAATGGAGCCAAATTCTGTCAATGTCCAGAATTCGGTTTCAACCGCTTGAGGGAGTCGATGGTTCTACTGCTTCATGTCCATGAATCTCCATGTTCAAGTTGGACCTGAGTTTGTAACGCTTGGTTGTGCCGTTGTGAGGGAAAAGACTACTATGCTCTGATTAAAAATTCTTGAAGTACTTAAGTACATAAAGCGGTCCAAAATTTACTTCTGAACAAAATCAATGATACTTCAATAGTAAACTCTGTATATTTACAGCAGTAAATTTAACCGCTAAATTTACAACGTTGTGATACAGTTCAGTCAACTTGCTTACAAATTTCAAAAAAATGGCCTCATTTCACACACCATTCCACACAAAGATTAAGATTCTTCTAGAACTATCAGGTTAAACATCTGTTATATACGTATTATGGAAATAATTCCAACAAAGAAGGTGAAAGAAATAATATACTAAATCAAACACAGTAATGCCTTATTTATGAACATGACGATGAATGAAAAATTGTGATGATTTATTTTAATATTTGGAAAGCTTCCGTCAGCTGTGAACTTGAATTTCACAAGATTCATAATGATACATATCTCATTTATGAAGTTATTGATTCATAAATAGTTACATGCAACAAAACGATGGTTTATATTTCATATAAAAAAATCAAAAAATATATAGAAAACATTCTTCATTTACAATCATCATTCTTTTTCGGAAATTTGAATTTTAGAAATGCATTACAATTATTCTTGATCAATGTCGATTGGAAAACAAAATTTTCCCATTTCCAAATTAGGAATGGTATACATTGTACACTAAAGAGTCAAATAAGACCAATTGATTTACACCTACATCTTATGTATGTATAATTCAAATGATAGCTTGGCATTTACTTTGAAATTTTTTAATCCTATTAGTTTAAATAAGATATTGTAACATATTCCTAGAATGCTTTAAGTTGAATTTAGATAATTAAAACAAAAACTGGAAGTTTGAAGTCTATTCACATTGTTGTATTATGTAAATATGAAAATTGATTCATTCAAATGAGACTTGTCTTGTAAGCATAGAATAAATAATAAGTCAAATGTATTAAATCTTATCCAGCATCTAATTTCTTTTTATGCTGATATAGCAATAAATTTTTTTATTGTTATTAATTTGATAAAAAAACTAGTTGCATTTTCACATAAAAAATCAAGCTTGTCATTGAAATAATAGACTTGTATGTCAAGCATATTGGTATTATATAGCGTCATTCCTGTCTTTACAAACTAGTATCATCACTCTACAGCAGTTTACGGACCAAAAAAATCATTTCACCGGGTATTATGCAGCTGTAGATTACAAGTGCATGAAGTGATCCCCTAGTTTGGTTACATATGCACTTCCAGTAGAACCGGACTTCATATTTCTATCACTTTATGAAGAGGAAATTACTTGATGGAACCCGGGGAAACTCAAAACACTTATGGACCCAATAGGTTTCATTTTACCCCAGGACCCCAGGTTTTCAGCCCACCACCGTCTTTGATGTTCCAATACTATCTAGGGTTATTTCGAGTAGAACATGAAGTCAAGACAAGACCATATCGGAAGTAATCCAAACTCATGGTGCCCGTAATTTTCTTAGACATGGCTGCGAACGAGTAGACAAAGTACTCTGTCCCAACAGAACACTCCCCACCCTTTAGAGCAAATCAGTAGGTATTAAGAACATGGGTTACGGTGGCAGTCGAATGGGGTAAAATGAAAATGAGATTTAGTTTCCAAGGGTTCATCAAGTAATTACTGCTTTAGGAACCATGGTCATATGGTAATTGCGATCAAACATGTGACCAACTATGATATGTAAACTCCGTGAAGTGTCATATCATCGTTCTTGGGATAGCATGATGAACTGTCTCCTCTCTTGTAAACAAGAACGATTGCAATTTGCGTTCTGTCCACTTGTTGTGTATTTCAATCGTATTTTGTTTCATTTCTTTGAATCAACGATTGGAAGACTGCTACTTGTGTTCTGTGCACTTGTCTACCTTTTTCTTCGTCCGCAGCTTCTATTCTTTTTGTACAGACAATTGCAAGATTGCAATATGTGTCCTGTCCAGAAGTCTTCTACTTCTCATCTGCAAGAGCTTTTCATGTCGACTTCATGTCGTGAAGTATCAAGTTGAGTGTATCAGAGACTCACGTCAACAGACTTTAGAAGGCTGTGGTGTTGGAATTGTTGACTTTAATCAGATGACTTTAATGTTCGCTGTACACTCATGATCAATGACTATAATCCCAAATTCCGGAGTTCCGGACGCAATATCCAGTCGTCTAAAGAATCTGAGTTTTGTGATCCATTCTCGCCAATCGGATGTCGGAAGAAGACGGGCCCGGTCCAACATTCAGCCTGTGGAAATCCTAGCTTCACACTGATTGCGTGTCCCAAGTTAGATATAGGTGTTTGCTTACAGCGCTGTGTTGCATGTATTCTGAATCGCGCATGGTAGGGCTTCATACCGACGTGCACTTCTCGGATTGCCCGTTATGACGATTAGAGACTCCTTCGGCCTCAGTCCTTCGCTGAGTGTCAAAGCACACATGAATCTAGAAGTAGATTATTTGTGAGGTCCCGGCATTGCCAGGGCTCATGTATAATTGTCGCTAAGGTAATACTCTCAAACCTTCTCTCATAATAAGAAAGATTTGATTTGCCTTAACTTCAGTGTCTGCACATTGAAAGGTTACATGGTCGGCAATAGTTCTACCTCCAGTGCTGGGTGTGCAAAATTAGTGGCGGTAAGATTCCTGTAGAGATGTAGCAGAACAAAATTCCTTTCTGACACACGGAAAGAGTGTCGAAAGGACTCAACGCCTGCCTTCGCTATCCACCCTATGGGGATATCATACCCAATCATCCGTCCATCAGAGACAGCAACAGGTAAAATGATCATATCAGGTGGATACAGAAAATCGCAGTTTCTCGTACAAATCTGGGCAAGATGGAGAGCATCCGTTTAAATTCGTTTGTGTACATCGTCACTCATTGAACTAACTTAATGAACATTGCATAAACATACAGCAGAGCACCGTTGAATCAAGCAATAACAAATGTGAGGTCCCTGACTACGAAGATCACGATCGCTGATTGAGAGAAAGGTGACGACATGACGAGGGCAACCGGCTGGTAGAGCGAAATGAAACTGTCAACACGAAGGGGCGCTGTGGAGACTCGAATTTCCTAAAACTATGAGCTGCCACAAACTACACAAACACTCTGCGGAGAGGGGCCGAATCTATACAGATCGAACGCGGAGGCATGAAGAGGATTTGCGGTCCATGTGACCTAATCACTTACTGAAGAAACACAGTCGCGCCGACGAGAACGGCCGCACACAAGAGTCCCCGAGTTCAGACCTTGGATTCTGAAGTCATTCGACCAGCTAGGTCTTAGATCCAAGGGCAGTCGATGGCCATCACACGAGCAGATCTTCGCTTATATGACTTTGGAAACTCGTAACAGAGTAGTTCACGTGTCAAACTAAGCTGTTACCGTGGACGGTTGACAAAAGTGATAGAATTGGATTTTATATAGAACTATGATCTATTAATTTTTACTTTGGAAACTTTCGGGTCGAATTAAAAACAAAATTAAGTGTGTACCTTATTTTCTCTTTATTACATTCATGTATAGGTATAAAACTTACAGGATATGAAGATACTCTGTATATTAGGATACGTTTGAAGAAGAGACAAATGCATGAATAACGTAGTAGAGGTCGTAACCGTTATATAAATGTAAATTTGATTATCTCTCGTGTTACAATATGGAATCAGATAATTATTTAGCTGATTCAGATTTTTTTATTTAAATAAAAAACCGTATGAAATTTATTCTAATCAATGTGAGAATTTTATCCATCAAAAATTGCATTCTAAATTACATAGACTCAGCTATACATGCTTCAGATATTATATATATAAGAATTAATATATCTTCTATAAAAATATGATAACAATCTATTAAAGTTATATATAATAAAATTAATATAAATTAGATGTAATTTATTAAAATTATGAAAAAAATATTATTTTAATTCAGATAGATTTAAAAGCTTATATCTGTTAATCTGTATTAAACCTTTTATAAGCGAATAAATTCTAATATGAAGATTCATATAATGTAATTCAGATATTTTTTTATTCAGATAATTTTTATGCAAATATTGTGTGTTAGATGTTACCAATGAGTGTTACCAATTTGATTGACTTGAACACAACTTTTTTTTCATCACTTGTCTGAAATATATAAGTACTAGATTTTTATCGTGAGTTTTTTTTATTGCTGACAACTATTTATGTATACATACGACATGCTAAAAAATTATGAAGACTCAAAATTTGTGCCATGAATGAAAATGATCACATCCTTTCTTTCATATGCGTAAATTCGAACAAACACAGAATTCACTGTGTGGAAGTAAAACGTTCAAGAAGCTTAATGAGAATTAATACATATATAGTGGTGTGACTAAGGTCACGAACCACACTAAGAAGCTTACTAAACCCTAACTTTAAACAAGCTTCCTAAGTGAATTCTAACTATAGCACAGAGGATAATGTTCAACATCCCTTCGTACTCGAATGCTAAGTTTTGTTTTTTGCAAACTACAAAGATTAGAGCAATTCTGTGAGTGGATTTCTTATTGATCGGAGCGTGCAACTTGTGAACACTAACACACTTCATCAAGAAGCTACATCACTAATAAAATGTAAAAACTAATACCTCATGGAGTTCTAAAGTTTAATCGATCTCGTTCCATCTCAAACTTGTTTCTTCCTAATGCTTTCGTAAGCATGTCCGCCGTTTGCTCTGCAGTAGAGATAAACTCAACAAAGATATTGTCTGCTTCAACCTTTTGGAAACAGAAGTGCCAATCAACTTCAAAATGCTTTGTTCTATCATGGAACACAGGGTTGTTCGCAAGTTTTATAGCGCTTTGATTGTCCACGCCGATTGGAATGCGAGAGCATACAATTTCCTTCATTAATCTTTAAATCCAAATAGCCTCCATCGCACAAAGACTAAGAGCTCGGTATTCAGATTCGTGGCTGTCTTGAGCCATTGAGCTTTGATTGTTAGAATTCCAATACACTTGTGATGAACCAAGCATGAACAAATAAGCACTAGTGGAGATGCTATTGTTCAAGTTTGCTGCATAGTTGACATTAGAGTAACCTTGTAGCTTGCTTTCCTCTCCATTTTCAAATAAAATTCCAAAAGAAGAGTATCGCTTAAGCTAGCGAAAGATACCTTCAACTAACCTTAGATGGAGCTCTTAAGGCTCATGCATATAGCGACTAGCCAGATTTGTGTAGTAGGCAATGTCAGGTCTTGTGCGTGTAAGATACAGCAGTTTGCACACAAACCGTTTGTATAAGGTGGTATCGACAGCAAGTGTGCCGATGTCTCGGCGAAGCTGGAGAACTTCATTAAGTGGGATGAAACTTGGGCGACAAAGAAGAAGAACTCAGCTAATATGGATAGCGCATACGGAGCTTAGTGCAGTAGTAATCCTCCCGTAGTGTGTACAAAGTGAACACCTAAGTATTTGGAGATTGTATCTAGATAAGTCATAGCAAACTTCTCCATGAGCGCAACAGCAAGATCATCAATGAGTTGTGGATGACTTTCTGTAAAATAGAGGTCGTCCAAGTACATGATTAGCAAGAGTATGTCACCTTGGTTTTGTAAGAGGTAGAAATTTGGATCAGCTTGACTTCGTTCAAGTCCTCGGTTGCGGAATGCAACATCAATGTGATTATACCATGCTTGTGGATTTTGACAGAGACCATAAAGAGCTCACTTCAACTTGCAAACGTCGCGCTCACGTCCTTAAGAGATGAAACCAAGAGTTTGTTGCATACACACTTCCTCTTCAAAAACGTCATTTAAGAAAGTTGTTTGGACATCAAGATGACGTATGTATCAGTTTTGATGTGTAGCAAATGCACACACAATGCGGATTGTCTCCCAACGTACAACAAGAGCAAAAGTATCATCGTAATCAATGTCGTGTTGCTATTGAAATCCACAAGCGTCTAATCTCGCCTTGTGTTTTGATCTGATCGGATGAGCTGGGCTTGTGTTTGAATACCCAACGAGCGCTGATTGCATGTTTGCCAGGCGGAAGAGACATGAATTCCCTGTTCTCATTGCGAATTAGTGATGAGTATTCTGCTTGCATGGCTGCAATTCAATTTGCATCATGACAAACGTCATGGAACTGCAAGTTGTCGCCTTCGTCTGGTAGCAAACCAGTGTTGGCATTGGTTTCTACAAAAGCAATGTAGGCGTCAAGGTGTCCAGATGCTTGACGAGCCCGTCCAGATCGTCGAGGCGGAGTAGGAAGTAGAGATGCATCACCACTTGCGTGAGGAGATCGATGTGGCACAATTGGAGAGCTCATATTGAACATGCGATGAGTCAATTTGATTGCACTAGGTGCAGAGACTCCGTCGATGACATTGATGGTGAAGCATGCTCCAGACCGTGTTGTGGTTGGTGTGGGACCGAAGTGCGGCGACGTTAATAAGTCACCACTGGTCGTGTTGTAAAGTCAATGGGATCATCATCCAAATTTTCAAAAAAACTATCTCTGCCTTGGCCACTTTGCTCATTTTGTGGCAATGAAGATTCATGAGGATCTTGTACCTGCACTGGTGCCATTCTAGGGAGCGGAACGGTCAAAGCTGCACTATGATTAGTTGATGTGGTGATTGAGGAAGAAATCAAGGAGTTTGAGGGTTCGTCACTGACCGGCAATTCAAGTTGTGAAGATTCGAATATCTGCACATCATGAAAAATATTGACTTTACAAGTTTCAGGTTCATAGCAACGGTAGTCTTTTGCACGATTGTCAAAGATGAGTAAGATACACTCAATTGAGTGCAAATCCAACTTCCCTTGATGAGATCGATGTCGATAAACAAAAACTGTACTCGCAAAAGCTCAAAGATTAGAGACAGATAGTTTTGTGCCTGAGATCAACTTCGTAGGTGTTACGTCGAGCATATGCTTGGAGCTTCGAATGTTGAGAATTTCACAAGCAGGAGGAACTGCTTCCGCTCAAAGATGGTTGAATAGATTCTTGTCAAGCAGAAGACAACGCGTGATGTTCATCAAAGAATAACTACGTCGTTTGGCAAAGCCATTTTACTGAGAAGTGTAAGGTACTGTGAATTGGCGTTTGATGTCATTGTCAGAACAATATGCTTTCAAACACTCGAGAAGTAAATTCGCCGTCATTGTCCGTTCGTAACATAAAAACCGGTTGCTTGTATTGAGCTTCAGCTTCACAATGAAATTGCTTGAATTTGTCAAAGTACTCGTCCTTGCGAGACATGAATGATATCCAAGTAAACTTTGAATAATCATCAATAAAAGTAATAAAATATCGTGCACCTCCTAACGACGGGATGTGAAATGGGCCACAAAGATCCGAGTGGATAAGTTCCCGTGGTGCAAAAGCGCAACTTGTGTCTTGTTTTGGAATTCGTGTCTTCACCTTCTCTCCTCAAAAACAGCTTGTACATGGTGTGTCGGAAACATGCAAGTCGGGAAGCCCATGAACAGCGTGCGAAGCAACCATTCGACGGAGATCATCATGATTGAAGTGACAGAGTCTCTTGTGCCAAAGCTCGGTTATGCTCGGCTTCTCCACTCCAAGTGTGTGGACTTCCACATAAGCCTTGGCGATACTCCTGAGGTGCATAAGCTATGAACTCACGAATGAATTTGTTGCGGACAAAGCAACCTTCAATAAGGAATTCAAGGTTATGATTGCCATCTGCAATGAGTCCAACAGAAAGAAGATTTTTTGCGTATGCTTCGTGAATATAAAACTTGCGGCACGGTTTGAACTTTACCGTTGGGAAGTTGAACATGAACATTTCTAACACCAAGAACGTAGTGGCAGTGTCCATCGGCTGATATAACTCAAGTGCAATTTTGATGCCATATTGTGGAGAACATGTATCGATTACCGGTAATGTGATGAGTCGCACTAGAGTCCAAGTGCCAATGTGAGATGGTGGATGATGTGTCTTCAAGCATGTTGAGTTCAATAGCAAGACTTTGGCCGATCATCAAAAGAGTTGATGGTGACTCTTCAAGGAGTTCAGGACGAATACTTTGGCCAACCACCGAGGAAGTTGAATCATTGATATGAAGGAAGTAGGCTTCAACGTCGGTTTTACCTTTGAAGTTGACATACTACTCATTTGGTTCGGTATCACCTTTGTGATATTCTTCACTGTCATCAATTGCATGAACTTGGCCGCTATCATCGCGAAGACGTCGGCATTTTTCATCTAACAATGCTCCATATCGTGAAGTTGATCCACTAGCGCCTTGATCTCGCATTCACGATCAAGGTGAACTTTTTGTAAACAAAAATCACAAATGATGTTTGGTCGCCGATGTTGTAGAGTACCGCGAGGTTTGAATCTTGGCAGGTAGGAACTGGATCCGCTAATTTGCATTTGTTTAGAGCGATCTAAAGCTCCAAATTTGGAGCCATAGTGATAATTACGTACTAGGAAATTGCCTCTACGGATGTTATTGCTTGAGTAACCCGTAAAACTAGCTTGATTATTCGGTGCATGACGAAACGAGACTCTACGATTGCGATCTCTATGAACGGCAAGAGCCTCGCTAGTACGGTTTTTCAGTGTGTAATAAACTACGACATCGTCTAGGAGAACCACAATTACTTCTTCTAGCATGTCAGCTACGTTCCTGACCTCTGTAAGATGAACGTACATCGTGAGTGTTTCAATTTTCCTCAAAGCGAACAACTTATTAATTAGATGAGCCTTACGGGGACCACTCTGACACTAGCATCTACGCTTCAGATTTGATCTACACTCATGAGGTTTAGTGTAACTCTTTAAGATTTTCATCCCAAAGTTTTTTGCGTTGATCAAAATGACCATGACTCTAGAACGAGTTGCCCTTTCATATAGATTAGTAGGAACGGAGGGTGGTAGTATGCAATAGTCAAAGAGACCAGAACTCGTGAGTGCATGCTGAATTCTAAAGGATCATATGCCATAGTTGGCTGTTCCTTCGAAGTGATATGCCTCATGAATGCTAGGATCATTTCCCGACTAAGATCCAAAAGTATCACTAATTCTAATGATTCGAGAAGAATTGCTAATAGATACTGTTGGCGGCATTGTTTCATTGCCTGTAGTGCCCACATTGCTAGTATCGTCACCTAAGACGGAAGTCCCAGACATGATGGAAGGTGAATGAAAAAAAACAACAACTCGAGAGCAATGACCGGAAAGAATCACTGTGACAGAAAACGAAATGGAAATCCCGCGCCTCTAATCCTTGAGCAGAAAAAACATGAAATAGAAAAGAGTACAATCCTAGGTCTAACGGTCTGATACCATGTTGAACAAACACAGAACTCACTGTGTGGAAGTAAAACGTTCAGGAAGCTTAATGAGAAAATGACATATGTATCGTGGTATGACTAAGGTCACAAACCACACTAAGAAGCGTTCTAAGTGAAGTCTAGCTATAGCAGAGAGTATAATGTTCAACAATAAATACTCTTTTGAAGTCAAATTCTACGGAATTTCAAAATTTTGTGAATTATTCCTGTGATCAAATATATATTGAATTTATTTTGAAACAAAATATCTATGAGATGTAAAATTTTAAGCAGAAAGAAAATGCATATTCCATATTGATTTTTTAAAAATATTTTTAAACTGCATAAATTTGATATTACACATAAAATGGCTAAAATTATTCCTCCTAGAAATCTATTAAATGACTGGAAGATTTTAATGGAATAGTCTTATTTAAATTATGAATAGTACATCTTATCTTCATTATTCTTCCAAATTAGTTGTGGTAAACGCTAAAAATATGAAAATATTGAAAATGATTCTTACTTATATTAGATTTTTCATTGCATATATATTTTGATCGATTATATCATTTTATTTTATTTCTTTGGAATTTTTTTAATAGATTATTACATTTTAGAATAGAGAATAATTTCAAGAAAAAAAAGTTTGGTTCTTATTGAAGTTCATCAGGTTGCATCAAATTAAAGCACTATGTACAACATACACATTGAGAAAATATTCGATTAAATTGATGTATCAATTTAGATCTTAGGATATCATTATTTTGAAATTTTAGATCAAAAAACCTGTAATAAATTTGAAAATGACAGCTTTGCCAAGTGGTTATAGAAATTTATGAAACATACGATTTAAATTACCAATGTATTTTAGAGCCCATTGTTATCACTTTATGATTATAAGCTTATTCTACTAACCTGCTGCGACATGTCCAGAAGTTACTCTTTATTTCTCAATGTTTGTAAGTATCATAACAATGATCTTCTTTTTTCCGGACTGAAGGATTTGATGTAAAGAAATATAGTCAAAATCTGATTAATCTTTATTGAACAAATCTAGTATAATTAAGAAAGGGGAGATAAAATTGGTTCTTTCCATGAAATTACGTGGAAGTGAAAAGATTAATTAATCTTTTATTCTCTATGTAATTTTTGTAGTCTTTAAGATTTCCTACAATCTATATGTGTGAATTTTTTGTATTTTGTATTTTTTTCATGATGTTTCGACCTATTGGCTTTTTTCATATTTTGTATAAAGAATGTCAAAATCCAATAAATAGAATATATATATATATATATATTCATATAATTAATATCATAGATACTCGAGCAAGTTTTTTCATTTAACAGGTTGAAAAGTTCTATCTTAAGTGTCCTCATGTTGATTTTTTCAAAATATTTTTTTCAATATGATTGCATTTTTGGTTCAATAATTAAATTTATATTTTTAACTAACCTCTCACATGTGATTATCTCACATATTATTGTGACATAGAATCTATTATTAAGACCATTTTGCAAGTTTGTATTTTCTTTGTGAATAGTAAGATTATACTCTATGTATTGTTATTTTTACTTTAAACAAAGTATATAGTGAGAGGCTAGTTATCACTCAGTTTGGATTAATTATACATTATTCATTATAGTATAAAGATGAGAGCTCTGTAGTTTGGGTTAATTATCACTCACCTTACTATATTATATAGAACAGAGCTATGTGATTTATCAGAAGTATCTATCAGCTTTATCAGGCATAGTCTTCATGTTACCGAAACTATGAGAAGTAATGCAACATGGGAACATAATCATGTGGCAAAGGATAATTATACTAAATTGAGGTATAACTAGCCTCTCCTAATAAACATGGCGTATCAAGTGAAAATTGTATTTCACACCGATTACAAAATTAAGAATATTAAGAAATTGTGCAATATTGTGCAATATTAAGAATAAAAGTCATATCTTATTGATTATATTGTCTCATTTATTTAGAAGAGATATATGATTTGAAAATTGTTTAGTGATATTTTGATGTTTTAAATTCGGTTCACATCAAATTTTCTTTTATAGTATACAAGTTTGAAACAATTCAAATTTTTTTTAATTCTAATTACATTAATGTTCTAGTGACTGAGTTGAATCCAGAAGATGAATAATTTATTACTTTTAACGAAAAAATTTAACAACCCCGTTCATTGTATTGCTCGAAACTCCACAATTCTTTCACTCCCTGTTTCGGGAGTAGATCATAGCGAGGTAAATCAAGAGTAGAGGAAATTTTGATGTTTTGTTCCTTACAAGGAGAAGAAGTATCTCAGAGTTCAACCCTTCACCCCTCTCCAAAACCCTGTATATGTACACTCCCTTAACTAGAAAATGCTATCCTGGCATCACCAGCTGAAGCATCTCACCGAGTACATCTTATTGTTCCCCAATTTTTTTGAGTATTCAGCCGAGCATTTATTGTGCTGACGAAGATTCACAGCCACCGTAGAGCGCCAACTGGCACTGCCCTTCCTTCTTTTGCCCCGTGCTGATCTTATGCCAGGCGATAGAACAATTGCGCGAGGTAGCCTTGGGAACAATTCTGTGCACAGCTCTTTGTAAACGAAGAGCAACGACCCACCTTCTTTCCATCTGTCGTCATTATAGGCCCATGGGATGTTAATACTTGGCCCAGTGATGAGCGTAAATACTTGTCACGATTCCCTCGATTTACCCCAACAGTTGCATCCTCCTTCGCGTAATTCCCAGCGATAATATGCTGGGGTCGTAACTGCGTTTATCTCCTCGAGCTACCTCTCGAGCTCGAGCTCGAGCTCGCAACTGGAACGAAAATGCCTCGTGTTGACGATTCAGAAGCTTTCTCCTGCAAAAGGCAAAAGCGGAGCAAAACAGAATGAGAACTGAGCACTTTGCAGACCTTGCTTGAGAGCACAGCAGAGCAGTAGAGCAGCTTCTTCACCGTGGCTCGATGAGCTAAATACTGAGCGGTTCAGAAGTTTTGAATGTGCGACTGGCCATGCAGACGAGACGGGCACGCCTCGGGGCAACCGAGGTCCACGATCCAGGTCGAGATGAAATAGCCGAGTGCCGGGCTCTCTGTGTCGTCCTGGCCTTGCACGCGATGCTCGTTCCATCATTGTGACGGAATGACAAATCCGACCCGCACAGCCGGGACGACGGTCGCTGGCCCCACGATCACCGCGAGGGAGTGCGCACCTCGTCGGGCTTCCGTGCTCCAGGCGAGCTGCAGAATGACGGCACACACCAGAGCCCACCGAGGGGAGGCCCGTAGGCCTGCCATCGGGAGACAGAGCCAGGGCGAGAGAATGCTGACGACGACGTGCAGGGAGTATCTCTCGAGCTCGACAGAGGGTGGGGGTCCTACAGGCTTTGTCGTATTGAGCTCCACAGGGCGCCAGGACGGCTCGTGGGAGCGAGCGAGCGAGGAAGGGAAGGAGGGAGGGACGCAGAGCGAACCAGCTGCCAAGTCGAATTGCAGTGCAGGCCAATTTGAATCCTCGAGCTGAGCCCAGCCAGTCTCGGAGGGTTCCGTTCGCTCATCTGGGGTTTCAGTCTCCGAACAGCCAGTGCCATCACTGAGTCTCGGAGAGTTCGGTTGCTGCTCAGAATGGGGGTCCCGCATTTGTCGATTCACGTCCTGAATTGTCGCTGTTGGAACTGAGTGGCGGATTAGGTTCTAGAAGGCACGAGTGGCTTCGCGGTCGGAGCAATTCCGGAAACCAGTATATCAGAATCGGTCCAGCATCCGAGGACGGGTGAATTGCCCGAAGGTGCGCACGCGAGGGCAGGATCACACTCTCATGGAAAGCTCTCCTTGATCCAGTGCATTGGGACTGGAGAGGAGGAGGGCGGGCGTTGCCGTGGGAGCCTTGCGCGAGCAGCAGCAGCAGGAGAAGAAGACGATGGAAACTCTATCGCGCCTGCAGTCAGTGCAAGCAACTCTGGAGCTCATGCAGGAGCATTCTCTCCTCGCGGATGGAGGGGGATCATCGGATCTGTTCGTGGCGGACTTTCTCCTCTTCCTCAAACAGAATTGCAACGACGCCAAGGACATCTTGCAACGCTGCGTCACATTGCTCAGCTTCTTGCCCGAGATTTCGTTCCACTTCTTGCAGGATTTGTTGGGCGGAGAAGTCCCACCGCCCGAAGATGAGATTAACTACTACCGAGTCGAAATTCCACAGATCGAGGGCGATGAGATCGAGAATTTCTCGTCCCCGGCCGCAGCTGGCAAGCCCAGAGCCGGAAAGGATAGGGCAGACAAGGCCCCGATGGCCGCGGACGGGCGTCCGGCCGGCGGGCTCTTGAAGGCCGCGCCTGCGGTCGGGCTCAAGGCCATGGAGAAGGCGCGATCCACTTTGGAGGACTTCTGCAGGTCGTACTTCATGTTCCACGACATGGACGCACGCGATCCCGCGCACGTCTTCAAATTTCTGCCCATTCTCCAGTTCGTCGAGTCCTACATCTACGACCTCGACGAGAGTAATGAGGACGAGCTGCACCGATCGGTTCAGTTCGTGGCAAGAGGTGCTCTCGAGAGGAGCTTTTCTCTGAGGTCGGTCGATGAGCCTCGAGAAACAGCTCATCTCTTCACCGGAGAGAGCTCTTCAGGTTCTGCTGCTTATTTTCAATCCTGCTCCGACGAAGAATTGGAAGCCCACGATGGTGAGCTCGACGGGCTCCGCTCGGGGGTCGATCCACTCGGAGAGTTGAGGGATGTTCTGAGCAGCAGAGGGTTGATGACGGACAGGATAGAAGCCGAGCTGAGAGATGGAGTAGAGTATTGGAAGCTGGAAAGAAAGCTCTGTGGATTAGTGACGATGGGTAGGAAGGTGAACATGCAGGATGTCTTCAAGACGATCGAATTGAAGTCATTCGACTTTCGTATTCTCAATAATCTCCTCTACTCGTTGACACATAGGATGGTCGATGAAACTCACATGGAGTTTCTGAGGGTGGCCGAGTTCCTCGTAGAGATTGCGGATGACTTGTTTGACTACGAGGATGACGTACGGAAGAACAGCTTCAATGTCCTGCGAATGCTGGTTTATGCATGCGGGCCTACTGAGGCTCCAGCAGTTCTCGCAAACTTCATCAGCACTAAAGAACGGGAGTATCAGCGATTGCTGGATAAGCTAGAGCCAGGTTTGGCCGAGCGGTTTCAGGAAAGATGTAAGGAGGCTGCCAAGGAGGGTGGGTTCAAGGAGACCTCTAAGTCGGGGTCCTGGGGAGCCTGGACCATACCTCCTCTCATAGTGGACGAAGTTGCATTCAGGGCCCATTCGAGCTGCGAATCAGCTCCATACATCAGAGAGGTGTAGGGTCAGAAGATGGAGGAGATAAATCTCAGTTTTCAGTCAATTAGTCCAACTCTCTTCATCGTCTTGTCGGCAGTTTTGAAAGGATTGGAGGTTTTGTTTTGTAAGTTGCTGTTTTTCTATACACACCAGAGCTTCGTCTGCGATCAGACTCTTATCAAAGAGTTCTCTATCCGTCATCTCTCTAGCTTTCAGTTTACCAAATTGCGCGGTCGTTTGGTTACAACCTTTGACGGGAATGGGAGACCGGACTAGGTTTGTTGATGTCTTCTGTTGCCCCACCAACCAATTCGACCTTTTCAGCCACGGGAATGTGAAACCCAGCTGAATTAAACAAGACGTAGATTCCATCCTCACTTTCATGTAAGGTAACTACTGGTCCTCAGGAAACGTGCTATACGGAATTGATGTCAGACAGTTTTCTTCCTCACCTTTTTGGACAGGAATGAGAAAGTTGTCAGGCTTTTTCTGCGAGAGCGCTCTGCTTCAGCCTGCCTCAACCACAGTCGTGCTAAAAGAACTGCCACCGCTCCTGCGCTAGCTCCAATGAGTCCACCATACAAAAGTGGAAAAGCTGTGGACAAAAACGGAAAGGATTCGTGACAATATGATGGAGTCTGTTAATCGGTTCGAAGCAGAACTACTCTGGTGTTCACAACAATAAAATCCAAATGTTCCATAAAATCCAAAATTTTGAGGAGCTTTCAGCGCAGAGCACCCAACAACTTCGCAGCAATCTCTGTTCCAGAAGGGAAGGCTGCTCATCTTCAAGAATCCGGTACGGGAGATGTCGGTTGACTGGAGAGAGCCAAGACCAGTCTACCCTCTGGGCTGTCACAATTCTCTAGCACAGTCCCATACGTTCTCTACAAGGTATCCTGCTTGACTTACTTGCTGGATTGTTAAGTGTTTGAGCCTAATGTGCAGAGAATCTTCAGAGGTAATTACCCATCACATCCTGTAATATGCTAACTACTCGGCGAAATTCTCAAGCTTGTCAACACCATACAGATCAAAACTCCACTCAGCTGATAAGACTCATAGTTTTGCATAGCCTTCCCTTAAACTTTTGCTTGATTCTACATCGTTGTGACCATTCGTAAAGGATTTCTAAGACCTTGAATCTCGGTTGTTAAAACAGTGGAGCGAAAGTTTGTATAGACCTCTGAAGGTCGTCTTCAATTCTTCTTTCGAACGCTCGGAATTCATCACTTCAAGAGTCTAATTGAATTTCGACATTTCCACAGATCCAAGGGGATGCGAGTTGCAGAATGGTCTGAAATTTCCAAAAGCTATCGGGAATAGCCTGAATCTCGTGGGTTTAATTCAATTGCTCAAAACTCGAAAGGATCATTGTCTGACTAGAGAACAACCAGCTTGACATGAGAAAAGTGGGAACTGTGATAAGCTGAGGAGATAAATACCGACAAGAGACGCAACGCCGACTCCAACGCCTGCAGCTCCAGCTGTGATCGAAAGAGGCACTACACTCGCTCTGGCAATTTTGCGAAGAAATTTATACAGTCTCGTTCGCACAACTCTCATCACCATTCCTAGAACAGTTCTCTTCATCCATCCCTTCAACCTTCTCCATACGCCCATCTCTGTCGCCTTGGCAAATTCTTCCAATGCTACTTCCAATGTTGCTCTGCTCTCTGTGGTTCCTCCGAAGAAATTCAATGTTCCTCTCTTCGAAGAAACCACGCAAATCTTCGCAACCTGCGAACTGCCACACTTTTATTGACTTCATTATTGTCGTTTGTAGAGGTGGGTCCTTCACTTTCGTCAGCATCATGTGTCCGAATGGATGGGTTCCTGACAGAGGGCGAACACTTGGAAGCTTGTAGACTCGACCCCCATCGCCACCTGCATCAAGGACAATCGTTTAGCAATCTATACGAGCAACACTTGTCACGTGCTCAGAAGGCCAGCTCGTATGCTGGTGGGGCCATCTGGCTGGCTTCGCATCGCTTTATTGTTGTCACCTTGCGCCGAAGGAATATCGGCTATTTTCTGTGACAAAGTATTTTCTATATATTATCAAACAGGATAGGTATGATAATTTATTTGTTTAAGTATTGTTGTTTTTGATTGATTGGATGTAAGTCGTTTTGACATGTTGAATGTGATATTATATGATTGAAATTTTTTATTCCTCTCTTCCTTTACAAGTTTAAACAATGATAACTCCTTGGATACTCTCCTCATTTATCTCTTTATCTCCAATATAATTTTCCTATTTATTCTTCGATAGATAGTAAAGAGACCAAAGATCTAACATTGAGATCATAACATAGCATTCAACTGATTTGAAGATGCTGTCCTGAAAAGTACGTTCACAAGCTGCCAGCTATCGTTCTCTGTACACAGCACAATATGTACGTCAGGATTCCAGCGCTTTGACTTCCAACTCGGCACTGGAGTTTAGATTTCGTCCCCCTCTGAGTGACCTGCTTCTTTGAGACATCGTTTTCAGAACATCATACGCTGAGCAGCGATCCTTGCACGAATTTACTGTATTAGGTCCTCTATCGAAATGTCAAAGACAACGCGAAGGCGAAGGACGAGAAGCTCTCTTGGCTATGATTTAGTAAAGAGTCTTTGCAAACTCACCACGTGATTAGCTTTTGGTCTCAGAAAGAGGCAATGGTGCAGGCCTTTGCGCAGTGATCGGTGCCGTATGTCGCACCAAGTTACATGTGCAGCTCTTCCCACGACTATGACTGGAGCCCATGTCTTCTCACTGTCACATGAAACCCATTCATTCTCAAATAGTTTCAAGTAGCTGTTAAGTTGACTTCCTCCTGGACCCAAAGTAATATTATTGGCACCGCTGAGAGGAGTTCATGGCTTTAAGGTCATGATGACCAGGCATATATAGATTACAGTTCGTCTCCGTTCCCTCTTGAGATATTCAACTGGGTTTCTCGTCTCACTTCCGAGACAAAGGAGCCTACGGAGCTGTACATGTCTAGCGAGGACGGAGTTATTGCAGCCGGTGGAATGGTTACTTGTCCCACAATTGCAAGGTCCGTCACTTCGAAATTGTGTAGAGTAGCCCTGCGCTAAGATACACTAGTATCCGAAGGGAGTTGCGTCTCTTCTTACGCTCTGCCTTGGAGATGCTGGAGTCCAAAGATGAGATATGGACAGTCTTGTTGAAAAGTTTTAAAGTTTATTCATGAACTTTGGGTGCACGATTATCATTGTCTCCTGCGTCCAGTATTTGCAAGTGCGTATATGCATTAAAATATAAGTTGCTTTCACGTTTACACTGAGAGAAATGATGGTTTTGATAGGTGACCTGTTGTATAGACCTCCTATCATTACCATACCTAACAATCTGCATGTAAGAACGATCAGAGTAGCAGTTGTGAAGTATTGACTTATCAAAAGAGATTCAGATCTCCTTCTCTTTTGTTGCATCTCAATCTTATTCTAGGCATGTCCCTTCCCGGTTTCTTGACTCATAACTTTTCATTTTTGTGAATTACCCTCCATATAGATGACGCAAAACTCAATTATTGATTATGACGAAGGAACGAGTGAACTTAATAATATAGTAGTAATGGCTCTAAGCAAGGTTCGAGCATAGCGGCAATCTCGAGGAAGGCAATAACTTAATGCAACTGTTCGCAGGTTTACCACGTTATTGAGAAAATCCATTGATTCAACTGTGGTAGGTGATTCGTCAGGGCTTCTAGCTTCGGATATTTAACTTCTATAGTGAGTCCGTGGTATGTTCACTGGACGACATGCAACGCTAGAGAACAGAAACGACCCCATCAAGCACTACAAAACTAAAAGGTATAAAGACAAACAAGAACGTCACGAGTAAAGGCTTTGGACTCCTATAATTATGTCTTGGATTTGAAGTGCTAAGCTAATGCCTCGACGGGTTGCGGAGCACAGCTTTCCTGTTCAGAGATTGTAGGTAGATGCACCATCTGTATCACCTGCCACGAGCTATGACTATATACTTCGACAAACGCTTGTTATGCAGGACTCCAAGAAAAAACGAGGGGTTATGGAGAAACTGTCACATGGTATACTGGCAACTCACCTGACGTGAATGACCTGAGCCCGTAAGAAATCAATATTGTGATTATGAACCCAAAGACCACTCAAATCTTATCTGAAAGATATCTGAGTGTACTATGACAAACTTCTGAAATGCGACCGGAGGATGATGTACAATATGTGTAAAAAAGAGATTTTGGATAAATGTGTGAAAATGTGTGGCCATATCCATGCTTCTTGAAAAATGCACGATACAACCCTGATCATGATAAAAAAATCTGCAGATATCTCCTCGAATACAAGTGGGAAAATGAAACCTCTTAGCATAAGCGAAACTTTATCTTAGAAACTAGTGGAAGCGGAGGGTTTAGTGTACAAAGATTGTTAATAAATAAGCACCTCAATAACTAGAGCGCATACTAAAAAGAGTTAGAAGGGTGACACCGAGCAACCTTCTCATCAACAACTTATGAGTCCTGATGTCTTCTCTCCTTGGGAGGCTGTAGGTAGTTCGGTGACTAAATGAATACGGCCCAATTCTTTTCTGTTGAGCATCTCAGGATATTTACCATTTCCTGCGGCCAAACATACGATAGAAAAAGCAATGTTACTTTTCTGCCCCGACTAGCTGATTGAAATATTGTTTCACCAGAGTGCAAGATACGGACTGTGATAATTCAAACAGTTGTAGCGCTTTGAAAAAGCATAATGAATATATAAAACACCTTATGATTTTCTTAAACTAAAGAAATATATTCCAATCAACAATTTTACTAACCGTGTAAGGAAACATGCAAACACAGAGGAAGAAAGGTCCTGGACCTCAGATTCTTCTCCAGATCCACGGGTGAAGCCAGGCGACCATTCTTCACGAGTCTCCACCGATGAAGTAAGAGAGCAAATGCTGAACTCCGATACTTCGGTCACAATGTATAGCACAAACTAGTCTACCCATTCGTATCTTTCATAGATACGAATCCGCTTCTAACTCCTTATCATACCAAACAGGCAGTATCTCCTTCCCCATGCGTTTTCACGCCTATCTAAAGTCTTCTGACTTCAGGTCAATCAGAATCTGAGTCATCATAGGTAGTAGACCGCACGTTTCGTGGTCCTTCATCAACATCCTGTTCCGCTTTTTGCTTCTTGACAATGAGTCCTGAGCACACATACAAATCGGCAAGCCTTTCAGAGACCTCACTCCAAAATTTTTCAATCACTTATAATGTATCTAAAAATTTCCAGAATACTTCCTTATCCTGATAATTTATCAATCTGCCTAATTGCAAGGTGAAAGCGTTATTGGGATGATCTTACCTGATCTAAGCAGTCTGGCTTCCAGAGCAGCTTTGGGGAAGTCATCTTTTCCTCCAAGTTCCTCGAATCCAACTATTCTATCACAGGCTACGCCATCCCTGTTTCAAAACAATCATTGCTTGGTGATGCTGAAAAAACTGCAGTTTCAAACTACTGGCCTATGAAGGTCATTTTGAAAACACGAAACACCAAAAACAAATAAAGGTAAAGAGGAGGTCAAAAGAATATGGCAAGCTGACCTGAATAGGATAACACAGGGAAGCACTTTGATGCCAAGCTTTGTCACGAAAAAAGGGCAATTCTGTAGTATTTTCAGCAGACATGTGCAACGACAACGTCACGGTGAGTATCGAGCTTTTCAAAAAGCTCAATGTATTCTAAATTAGGTAGATGAGGGAATGCAACGTTGAAGGAATGGTCGGACGACATTCAAACCAACCTCTGCATCGACCTTGATGAACTTCGTATCAAAGTAGGTCAAGGCCAAAGGTTGTAAATGCTTGTCCATGATCCTGCAAGTCCAGAATTTGAGAAATGAGGAAACAGTGTATCGAAAATGAGTAAGAGAGAATTGCTAAATAATTGAATGAATCACTTCTATCTAGATACTGCAGCTTCTATTGATTACAGCACAGCACTAACAGAAAAGCCACAGAGGCCATTCGACAATGTCAGTAAGAAGGTGGCGATCAGAGGAAATTGCATACTTGCAACGAATGAATTCTTTATGGAAGAAATGGCACACGACTCTTTCAGTGCCGGTTACTTCTCCAAGGAAATCACCTTCCGTAACCTGCTCATACAAGTTTACAAGGACAAATCCGCAAGGTGTCATCAGGTACACCAAGTTCCAAAAAAACCGAAGTAAAGCAAATCTACAACCCGTTGTAATTGATTGGCTAAACTAGTCACATACTCGCTGAAGGCCCTACTAGAAAGGCGGGAAGCCTCAAAACAAAGAGCATTATCTAGAACCATGTAAAGCACAACAAACGTACTTCTCTGAATTCACCATGGCCTTTCCTCGCCAAGACTTGTCTCTTCTCTGCTTCTTTCTGGAGATCAGAGATAATTCGCGAAGATTTGTCAATCTAAGAATGTATATCGCTAAACCACAACCTCTCGCATATAAGAGCAGATCAAAGATGGAATACATTCAGGAAAAAACCAAAACCTTTCAAAACTGAAATACTGAAGGCCATACGAGTGTATGGGATCAAATTTTCCTTTATACGCGAAATTGGGGATTAAAAGTATGGACGGTGTAAAAGGTACAGATTGAGCAGAACCTAAGCTTAGGTACCTTCAGAGCAGCTATTCTCTCTGCGTGAAGCCTTTCGAGTTCAGGATCCTGTTAGAGAACGGTACATCAGTTGCGCAGCGACGAAGTTCAAAATGTGCCCTAAGTAAAGGTTCTCGAAGACAATAAATATCACTCTGAGAAAAAAGAAGAAACATGAATTGAATTTGAAAGTCAAAGCTCTATCGGGCTAAAGTCTACATTGTACGTGTTTGCAAGATCTCGACAGTTAGTCCTGTACATAATACAGATACTCTGAAAACTACCAACAGCTCGGAAATTTCAAAATTCGGTGTTTGTAACAGACGAAAGATTGTAATTGTCAGAATCCACAACAACTTACATCCATAAGCTCGTCCAAGTCCAAATCATCGTTGACATGTGTGGAGGTCTTAGCTTGTTGAGCCAACAACTCCTGTAAATTTTTTTAACAAATGCATTGGTATTTGTCACTTACAATCGGACCAAGATTTCGCAGATCACTTGCAAAAGGAACTGGACAATAAGTTACAAGAAAAATTGAAATTACAACCCGAGAAACAATCACCGCTTGCCTTTTGGTAATCACGCGCAGCTGCTCCGAGGGCTTGGCCTAGGGCCAGATCTCCCATACGCGTCTTGAACTTTTTAGGATCCATCACTTCCTTCTCTCGCTTCTCTTCCCGCTGGTGTTTCCAACCTCAAACCCAGCTATAACCAAGAAAAAGATGGAGCAAACTCAGAATAAGCGTACTCACGCAAAATTTGCAACAATGTACATTCTGTGAGCTTTGATCTTCACAAGTCGCACCATCAGCTCTACTGTAAGAAAGAAATGTCGAGTAGCACTCCGAGCAAGTCTTTCAAAGAACTTCAAATTTTTCTATTTCAATCCCACTTCAATTGAGGGTATGCATAACTCCAGTTTCCACTCTGAGTACACATTCTTCACCATCAAATTGAGAGGACAAACCTACGCAATAATCTACGTATCGAGTATAAACCTGAAAAAATCCGATCGATAATCGCATTGATCAGATGGAAAAGGAAATGTCGAAAAGCAATGCAGTACCTTTCCCAGGAAATTCACTAACTCAGACGCCTAAACCGATTCAAATTTCAAACGCGAGCGCAAAGGTGCTCGAATTCAAACCAAAGGGATTTGCGCCAGCGCTTTCGTCAAGGAAAGCAAAGATTTTCTTTGTGGGTGAGAATGACGGCGTGCGCGGATCAGTCAACCTGCTCCATAACGGACGGCAAGTCCGTACACATGTGAACATGGTTTTCTCCCGGTTGGATGTCGACGTTCCCCAGCACCCTGTTACTGCACAGCGTACTGTAGTTGTTCCATCGCGTTACAGTAGTCTCTATCTGTACATTGTACATGTACAAACACGTCTCAGTTTATTCTGATTCACGTTATTCTTGGTCCAAGATTATCGACAATCCCGATTGAATAGTGTGATATCTAATGTTCGAATGTTCAATTACATTCGAACATTCTAATTGGGCTTCAACAACTGTATTTAAAAAATAAATTTTGAGTCTCTCTCTTTGTGTTAATGAATAATCCCACAGAAAGTGCATACAGAAAACAAACCTTCTCTCATTCGCGTTCACTCGCACTTTAATATTGTAGGCTGCATGATGGTCGCATGATTGTAAGTGATGGTAATAAAATGGGTTCTCTGAGCCTTTCGATGTTCATTTCTCATAGTAAATTGGTGGAATATCCCCTATACTGTTAGAGTTCAAATAAAAAATAGAATGAATCACTCTAAGCAAGACCATTTAAGTGTTAACACTAGTTGGGTAAACACACTAAATATGGGATTGTGTATTGTACACTGTGTAAGGCGCAGTTATGTGCATGGGGCAGCGTTAGAACATCTTGACGTGGTTGATATGTGTAATGAGTACAGTTGAAAGGAAATTCTCCATGGTCAACCAAGTAGACATTATTCTCTTCTTCAACTCGTATAGGTTTCGCTACACTTTACATATCAGTCAATGTAAAAACATTTATTTGAATGTCAACTCTTAGCTACGTGGAAACTTATTCGAAAACACCTAATGAAAACTTGGTTAGTTTCATGGTAATATTCCAACAGATACGAAATCGAATCAGATGACAGGCCTCAGCAATTTGCTGTTTCAACTTGCAGTCTAAGTTTCTTAAATCGAGAGCACTATGACTACCATGAAGGATACTTTCGGTCCTTGAATAATGTCTTTATTTCAAAGTTTCACAATTGGTCTGTTGGCTTTCTGTGTAACAAGACATGAGAACTTAATCAATTCCTTGGCAAGATTGCACTTTAAGATATAGTTTTTTCTTCTCTTGGGAGTATCACCTTGGTCAAAAAACAGACACCAGTACATAGAATCTCTCACTTCATTAAGGGTATCCAGTTGGAAGTTGTGTACAAGCTGGTATCAGATTTGGTCAAAATTCAGGCACCATGATTATTCCAATTTGTACAAGAGCTTCTTTCAGTATGGTATTTGTCAACTTCTCAAGTTTATATGTTCACTTATGGTCTTGGGTTTTGTTCCCTATCGTGTTTTTCTTGGCGAAAGTTGAATCAAATCTTTACAAATAGTTTCCAAATTTACTTAGGCTGTATGGAAGGTAAGGGAGAGAAGTTGTCTCACTTGAGACTCAAATATCACATATACATGAATTTAGTGCTCAATCCATCAATCAGAATACAAAGATGAGATCAGAGAGGAGGAACCAAGAAGGATCTCATGGACAACGATGTACGAAGGTCGTGCGGATATATGTCATGCTAGTCCGCTCCAGCAGCGTGGAAATTTGCAGAGACGCAACTTCCGGAGACAAAAGGAATGAAAAGTGCACATTCGAGCAAATCCCGAATCGAAGGACGAGGGCAAGAGTCAAGCATTGGGCGATCGAGACAACGAGAAGTGGGGCAGGGACAGCAAGAAGTATCTAAGTGATGTCTTCTCATAACCACTAAACTAGAATCATATAAACTCCATGTGGACCCCATATTTCAGTTGAGACTTTACTCCTAATTCACTCTTCTGTCAGGCTACCGTTAAAGTGAGACAATGCGGTATGTTTTTGGGAGAATACTTATCTGCTGCAACCGATTTCATACAGAAGAATAAAATTTGCTCTTTGCTATAAGAAGTTAGTGGACTTATTATGTTCGAGAACTTACTCTTCGCCATAAATGTTTTGTGGGGAAGGGCATCTTTCAATTCTTCTAGAACATCGATTTCGTATGGGTCGTTTGCATACCACGGCCTTGTTATTAATAAAATCATTATTTCACTTAGATATAAACCTTCTGTAAATGAAAATTCTCATATTTGAGATTTTTTTTGTGGAAACCGCCGTATTATCCATTATTTATAAGGACATGTTCAGATCAGCCTTGACATTTAGGAAAGGGGGTGGGTTTTCTGGAAATTATAAATTTTTTTTTCCTGACCATTACATTGTGACTCACAAGATACTCCAACTTTGATCATATGTTTTCTTGATTTTGAAGAGAAGCTTACTTGAAACCTATTCAAATAACCTATTTCCAACTCACGTGGTTCCAATCTCAATGAATTTGATGGTCAACGGTGTTGGCCCCCATTCACCTAAAAATTGACCTTGTTGGTCATAGATCATATGCTTCTACAGTATATGGACACCTTTGGTTACCACAGGTGACCACTGTGGGATCGTTCATACTACGACTCTAGGCATTGATATTTGACGTCTCTAGCTGCATGTAGACTAGGAGACGAAACGGATTCATATGCATTGGGGGGCCCACCGCAAACATGTTTGCTACATTTAGACCTACTGCAGGAGATTGCGGGTAGGACCATTCCAATCAAATACAACATTGTGATAAACTATAGGCTATCCACAAGTCTAGTTTTTGTTTTACTAACAGATGAGGCTCCCTTAGTGTTTCATGATCACACTCCCACATATTAATTACATGTTTGTTGTAGAATTGCAATAGTACAAACTTTCCACCTTATCTCGGTTTGATGGATTCTTCCCCTCCTTTTTGCTATATTACTTGGTCGCCCGTCTCTCCTCAGTGATTAGAGATTTGCGACAGGTTGTTTGAAGCAGGCTCACATATGCCACGCTGTGACTTGTTGTCGGAAGTATCTTGCTTACAGTACACGTATACCACAATGTAAATCGAGCACCTCCCGTCTATGATTCTAAATGCAGAAGATGAAACCCTAGTTATAACAAACCTGTCTACCTTAATTGGCAACCTCGAGAAGGGGTTTAGAGAAACAAACAACTATATGTGTGTAGACACATATAGTTGTTTGGCACATTAGAATGAGCGGTTACTTGGGGATGTTGGCCTTTTAACTTTCTTCATTCTTCAACTCAAATATGGACGATTATTCTTGTTTCATATCCAAATATATTAAGTGTCATTATACACTTTGTGTACTTCCCCTGCAAAATATTTTAGGATTTCATATAACCTCGGGTAAATTCATTACTGTTTTAAAGACTGCATGAAAAATACTAAATTGATTTCCCAAAGCAAGAAAACTATGTGAATTCTCCTTATAGTTTATCAAGTTCTAACCTGCCTTTAGACGATCCATGTGGTGTGTGGTGTGTGAGTTTCAACAATGATCTCTTAGTAAATTCAGGAGGAGATTCTTGAGACTAGATTCATAGCGAATGTCATATTGAATACAACATGACGAAGTTGATGATACTAAGACTCGTAAACTTTGTTTGCATCCACAATGTCGACGTTCACCGTGAGGCAATTTAGATGCATTTCATTAAATGAATATCTTTCACACTGTTACACTATCCAACGCAGTCCTCAGTCCACGTCAGCGCCAAGACTACGTCTTCTATCCTTTTACTTGCAATACGTTGATTTTTCAAATTTTAATATGAGTTTTTTGTTGTGCACGTTTGAAATGAGTCTCTTTTAAACGAAATCACCGTTGCGAAGGAAAATGTCTCACACGGTAGGAGTAGAGTAGCTGTATCTCATGCAAATCATAGTCGTATCAAACCAGAATGATAGTGTCCCTATTCTAACAATAAAGGAAACGTTTATTGCAGATCACATCTATTATAATATGACTTTCGACCTCACAGAATATCTCTTCTGAATTGTCTATTCGGGAGAATAAATATGTGCAAAGGAAATCATTCGACACGTAAATCTGATGGCAGCAGCCCAGTGAAGAAGAATAGGTGTAAAATCGAAACCTGTGCTGAACAGAACGAACTCTCAAAGCGCTGGACTTAATTTGGGCCGGCCTGGCCGAACGAGGTAAGTTCTTGGAGCATTTTAGTTGAGCGTTATAAAGTGGGCCTCAAATTTCGATGGGAGCAAGCATGGAGACCTGCTGAAGGATCACATTCCGAGGACTGGTTAGAGTCACCCGGGAGACAGATCAACGCGGCTAAGTTAAGCACGATTCAGCAACCTGAAGTTTGTCGCATGCGGTGACAAGTACATTGAGCTGCTTGACTTCTTCGTCGTCGTCCTCGTGACAGAATACACAGACAGAGACAATCCTCTGCAAGGAAGAGCTCTCGCTTTCGCTAGCGCGAGAGAGAGAAGGAAGGAGGGAAGGAAGGAAGGTGGTACACACGAGGAAGAGGGAGAGTGGGAGAAAGATCGGCAGCAGGTGGGTGAAGATTGTAAATTCGATCACGTCTTGGTGAATCTAACCCTGGAGGATGTCGCCAAGACGTGACGATCACAAGCTGTTTCTGGATCTATAGTAGAGCGCAGATTTTTCTTTTCCTGAGCACTTGTGATCCGACTTCCTAGCATCTGGTGGTTTTTAGGTCTTTCGGTGGACAGTGTGGGAGCATTGCAGGACGGGGACTGAGGCAGGAAAGATTGGAGACTGTGTTGAGGAGACTTTGGCCGCCAAAATGACATCATCCGGATCTCCCGTGATCGGTCTGTCGTCTGCTTTGTTTCCCTATTTTGATGTGGATTTTTCTAGTGTTCGAATTTGGAGACTGATTGTAGAGAGGAGAGGATAGGAGAGAAACGTTTTCGAAGTTGTTGTGGCGGGTGAGATCCTGGCGAGTTTCTGTACGGAGTTCCCTCGAGGAACCCGACTCTGATGTGTCAAGTCTCCAAGAACTGTGGACTGACAGAAGGATTGCCCGCTTTTCTGTATTCTGCATGGTCTCACGATGATTAGATTCTTACCAATGCGAGTGCTCTGGTTACATGGTTGATGAGCTTGATGGCCGTAGGTAGAGTCGGGACCTTTTTATCGACTGGTCATGCCAGCCTTGCCAGGGCATTATTTACTCGGTGACGACTGAAATCAAGTAGACGTCAACCATATTATCTGGTTCCAGGCGCTTTTCGAACCTCGGAAGGATAGTGTCGTGGTAACCGACCGGGTTCCGTAGATCAGACGGCGTTACCCCTCCATGTGCACGTTGTGAGTTCAGGATTATCGCCTGCACATGCTTACTGACCATGTAGGGAAGGTAAGGAGCTAGAGGTGCCATAGGAGCTAGAAGTGCTGCTGCAACCAGGATGTTAACAGGTGATTTCCTTTTTTTTGCAGTTCCGAGAAACTTTCGGCTATTGGAGGAGCTAGAAAGAGGTGAGAAGGGTATTGGTGATGGCACAGTTAGTTATGGTATGGACGATGGTGAAGACGTTTTCATGCGCTCATGGACTGGCACGATCATCGGACCCAATAACGTACGTATACCTATATGCTCACAGACAGTCCATTGAGTTGCTAATTTTGGTTGGTCTCATTTGGAGCACACTACTTCTATCTCTTACGGCATTCCACCTTCGAAGCTCGATCCAACTCATGCGCAGATGTTTTCCAGTTTTTGATATCAAATCTCGACGGTTGTTGAATCTTATGATACGTCTGATGTTCTCTGCCAGTCTGTCCACGAAGGTCGTATCTATACTGTGAAGCTGTTCTGTGACAAGGATTATCCCGACAGACCACCAAGCGTCAGATTTCACTCTCGAATCAACATGACCTCCGTCAATCAGGAGACCGGCGTGGTGAGTGTCTTGTCTAATGTTCCACATTGTAGCTATACCATGTTCAGTAGCAGGAACCTACTATCATTATCAGCCCCCAGTGATTGTTTCCTTCTGTCTGTTGAAAATATTTGTTGAACTTGGTGAAGATTGTCTTCTTTACGTCACGACAACTAAAACAAATTAGGTTAGAACACATGGAAATTTACCTACTTTGATTTCCAATATATTACCGTCTGTATTGCTGAGTTCAAGATTGACATTTTGTGCACTTTATGTGTTTATATCTGTACACTTCGAACAAGTGATTGTTGCATTATAATTATCATTCCTCTTATAGGCTTGCCAAATGATAGCATGAATTAGGTTCCAGTTTAAACATGTCCAAGGTTTGTGCCTGATTTCTTCACGGGTGGCGGTTTGTCATTAGTTTCAGTGAATTCATGTCGATTTAGACAATATTGTACATTAACTTTTCTGTTTTCTTGCTTCTCCAATCGTATTTGAGCTGATTCTTCTATCAACTCGATTTGTCTATCTTTTGATGGGTCGAGGAAGATGTGATCCGGTTTCTCACACCTAATTTATCGACGTAACTCAAAACGCATACCTTTTGCAAAGCATAACATGTTGCCAACACGGAAAGTTAGAGCCTTGGCTTGATATTTGAATCCAAAGTCTTTCTGAGCTTCTTGCTCATTTATGTGCTATATTGAATCATCATAGCTGCGCTACCTGGTTCTTAATTTTTAGCTTTTTAATTCACATATAAAAGGAAAAAATTTGAAATCTAACAATGTTGCGCTCAACTCTTGTATACTACAGTCTCTCAAGTGATTACTCTTGCATTGCAGTCAATCATTACATACTTCCCAGAATAACTTGCCATTTTTCCTTTCAGGCTCTACCTAGACGAATAACATCTTGTTTAATTCCTATGAAAAGAGGCGGAGACTTATCAATTCGAGTGTTCGAATGTGTATCATTTATGCATTATGTTCTTTGCCCTTTATGCTGTAATTTTTACTACAATTCCTGAACCACCATCGCTTGATGAACATTGTAGTTCTGTTGTTTGATGCAACTGTGTCTGTATTTTCTTTGTTATGCATGTTCACCATAATGGTTAGCGACCCCAAATTTGTCGGATTAATTGACTGGTCATTTTGCTGTATTTTTACTTTGTGAAACAAAAGTATATAAGGGGATGATTGACGTATTTCATGTGATTTTTTGCAGGTTGATCCTAGACATTTCTCCATGCTAGCGCAGTGGCGTCGGGAGTACACTATGGAGAACATCCTTACCGAGCTGAAACGGGAAATGGCAGCCCCATCTAACCGTAAGCTGCAGCAGCCACCAGAAGGCAGCATCTTTTAAATACGTCGTCTGATCAAGTTGATACCTGCACGTATTGTACTCAATGAGTGTTCGGCACACTTGAAGTTGAACGATGGGGCAGGGGTTGGAAGCTCAGAGTTCGGGGACTGGACCAGAGAGCATGTACAGTGGCGTGTCATGCTCTCAGCTGCTCAGGAAGTGATCATCAATATGTAGCTGTGATTTGTTTCCATTTGATGATGATGGGGGTAGGGAGTATATTGAAGTCGCTAGCTGAACATGGCGAATTCGAGGCTCCCAAGGAGTCATATGCAAACAGCTAGTGTATCGCAATTCATATAATTGGAACTTGCCGCAGTGATTGCCATTATATGTAGGGGTGGGGAGCGGACACTTGAGATGGTTTGATGCTATAATCCGCTTCGGTAGGAACGAAAGATGTATTTTCTTTCAAATGACTTGCATTTCTGAACAGATGGTATCACAATTTGGATTCTATCCACATGTATCTCAACGAGCTACTAAGCGATAGATCAGTATGTATAGAACTCGGAATCCCATCCATGTGAAGAAGGTTGACCTGTGAAAGTTGACCAGCAGTTCAATCGAGAGTATCAAGTACCTTTTTGCTGTCCGTAGTGCTCACAAGATAACTGATAGTCATGGACTCTTGCTGTATCCCCGGAATCAATGAATCAGTAAGTTTTCTGAGACTGGCTTTATGTTGGACCTAAGTGCTTATACATGGATGGCGTGGATTTAATTTGACTATCTATGCTTCTTTGGGGGCCAGAAGAATTGTTTTTACAGGATAGAATCCCAGATCGTGTTTGGGGAATGGATGTTGCGCTTCGCGAATGGAGGATACGAGAAAACATTGTCTTATCATATGAGCTTAAAATCTGTCAGTTGTCCCGCAGTAAACTACATGGGCTACCGAAAGTAGTACTTAAGTCATAAGTATGCACAATGATAGTCTTCCCGAGCTGTAAATTTCTCTACTGATTTGTCTTATGAATGTAACGAATGTCTACTGATTAGTTCTGAGTGGATCAGATAATTTAGAACTGGCAAGCTTTATGCTGCATTTGCTACGGAGAGCAGAGTTTTTTTTTATGTAATCTATCTTGCAGATTTATAGCGCGTCTAGGCTAAGTGCGTGTTTTTCTAGGTTGTTGTAACCACAAGTCATCTCTTTTATGTTGGAATTGTGCGGTGGAATATCTGCTTCACATTTGTTCAAGTAGGTAGGTACCTTTCTTGCGAGTCCGATCAGTTATGCGAGAAATTGATATTGTGCGTCATACCAAGTTTACGGGGATTGCCCCTTGACTCCACAGTGATTGTGGATACTGAGGAATCATGTACTGAAATTTTCTGAAACAACTTAATGAAATATCAATATCTACATGGAAATACAGTGCATGTCATTACGTCGCTCAATGTTAGAAACAATTCATTGAGATCCTTCTACGGAGTTAAAGTTGTATGTAAATGATCTAATGACCTTTCTGCTACTTTATGGATTCCATGTTTTGATACTTCAATTCATCTATTGACAATTAAGACCTGACTGACGAGTCATACGACGTTTTCAGAATCCTATTTGAATTCAATGCATTCTCCTGACGCCCACTCATTCACGACTTATCAATACAGGTTAATTTGAATTTATTAGCCTAGTGTTGTCCTCATTTAAGAAGGGAACCCAAATGTGGAATTTCATCAAGTCTGGTTTTGTTCAGTCAAGTTTCAATTCGTGTATATCTATCGCCTGATTGCAATGTCTAATGAGTAATTATTTGAAGGCCCACCTCTTCTGAGAAGATATCAAAATTTTCATTTTATGAGATTTTCATTTTCACACAAATGTTTGAATTTCACAAACAACAAAATCTTAGTCGCAAAATACAACAACAAACTAAATATACTAACTCAAAGTATATTCTTGGGTTTTAAGTGATCAATTTTTTCACCATATTGATAATGTTTTAAATCTTGCACCATTGCGCATATCAACACACATCAAATATGATAAATATAACTTTACTTGTATTTACGTGCATGTAAATATTAATAGTATTAAAAAGTTTAAGTTTACAATGATGTTTATAATTTTTGTAAATTATCAGACTTTAAACCTTCCATTTATAAACCAAACGCGCATTCGTTATAATGTTTACTCATATCATGTAATGAAAAGATTTATTTTAGCAATATTTATAATTTTTGTAGATGATCAAACTTTAAACCTTACATTCAAAAACCAAAGGCACATTTGTTACAATGTTTATTCATATCATAGAATGAAAAGATTTACTTTAACAATATTTGCACTTTATTTTTATTCTCAACATATGTAACCCGCATCTACTAATCACACTATTCAAAATATATAACATTGATTCACATAAATATTTCATATATGAAATATGAAGTATCATGCAAATGATTTTAGTAATATAAAATCAATAATGATCTAATGTTGAATTACAAAAATATTGCTATGTGTTCAACAATTACATGAAATTTGATAATATATCTAATATTCTAGAACTTTAATTATTAGTAAGATATTTATGATCACTAAAATTAAACTGAAAATAATCAATTTCAAAAAATATTTGATTTATGTTGATTATGAAAATATTATTTTATGACATGTAAGATTTTAATTATTATGAATATCACAATTCTCCAAGATAATTATAATATTCCATTATTGTTCGTCAAATTATATATATTTTCATGTATTTCCAAGATTTTATTTCATGAATTAATTAGATATATATTTTATAAAAATATGAACATTTTTCAATAAATTTCTTCATTTATGATTTAATTATAGATAATATTTCTTGAATTTATTATTGAAACTTTTTCACAATTATTATTATTTTATTTTAACTTTTGCGTTAATTTATTATTATTTTTATAAGTATTCTATAAATCAATAAATACATATTTAAAATTAAAAATATCATATTTTTCTATTTTTATGTTTTCAAATTAGCATGTTCAAGTAATTCTGTGGTAAGCAACGGATTCTAACGATTATATCATGATGATGTATCATTGTCTCAACTTTATGTTGGAGAATTTGAGATGCACAAATTTGTATGTCAATTTTGTTTGTTGAATTAAATGTTTTGGAGTCGGATGACATAACATTGATGAAACTTCAAACAATAGAACTGAACTTCTTTTGAGTTGCATAATCATTTCGTCTTTGACTCTTTTGGACTTGAGAATCTGAATTTACAATCCAAACTTTTGAGATCAAGAGTTTTGGAAATCTGCTATGCAGATGATATCATAGTAACCTAGCAAGCACAAGTTGGTTTTTTTTGTTTGAGCAATTGGTGATCAAGTGACTCGAGATAGCAAATGAGTTTTTTGGTTGAAACATGTATGATTGTTCAAGTTGTAAATACTCTTGCAGGCTTGTAAATGCTAGAGTAATGCGATTGCGATTCATGCGATTCATGCGATTTGGAGAATCCAAGAGTTGCACGAAAAAACATCTGAACCTTTGGAGCAGTTCAAGCATGCATCATATACACAGATAACGTACATGTTCAAAAAAATTTCATGTAAATTATAGTAATGATAAAAAAATCAAGTTTACAGTTATGTTTGTAAATTTTGTAAAATTATTAGACTTTAAACCTTGTATTCATAAACCAAAAGTACACAATGTTCACACATATCATATAATGAAAAGATTTTTTTTTTTGTATTACAACATTAGTTGTTAAACCAATGAAATCTAGGTGTTTTTTATATCAAAGTAAACATTCTAGTTACAATCTAGAGTTCGTATATGTGCAGGATCAGTTAGTTAAGCCGGTTGGAGGTCTAGTCGCATTGATTGCGTAAACGATCCTTTGCGAAACGTCTAAATAAAGTAATTGTGTGGTTGTGCGAGTTGTGTGTTGGAGTGCTACTAGAAATGACACGGCTTGTTTTACAACATGGTTCATTGTCTTTAATGAGTTCTAGCCGTTTTTTGAAGTATGTCAATGCTAGTGACATTCGCTTTGGACAGAGTATATGCAGAATAATGGACATGTCATTGGGTTGTAGTGTCGAATCTATATTGCTTTGGACTGTGAAGCAAAAGTTGGAGCAAGCATTAGCTATGTGTCAATCGGCGCATCATTTTGATTGTCGTCCAACATACTCAGTGCAACATATGATGTCATATACAAGCCTCTTATGCACGGTTGCTCTCATCCAGATATCTTCAATCACATTAGAGTTGTATGTGCTATCACCTACAAAGCATTGCTCGCCATCTCTGCCATGCATGGAGATTTTCAATTGATTTATATTCAATCACACGTCAAAGCACATTCTATCTCGACATTCATGAAATTCTTGAATGCGAATGTTGAGATATGATATTCGCTTTCGAATCTTCACGTTGGTGCTTATGACATTGTTAACCTGCATGTGATCGCGCTTCCGATGTTCGATCAACATACCGATGACATCATGTTCAAGGTGATTGCATCTTTCTTGGACATTCTTCACCATATTTGGAAAGTTCTTCTTCTTGATGTGTTTTCTACCGAAAACATGACTTATCATGTCGGCAACATGACTTATCAGATTTCTGGTGTTGTAATTCGTCTTGGAATGTAATGCACAACAAGTGAATACTTACTTGTGTTTGGTGTGGAGCTCATGAACTAGATTTCGTCATGAAACACTTTATTAATAAAATGATGAAGTCAATTTTTTAGTCAACATAAGATTTATCACCCATTAGACACAATAGTAAAATCTCATTGCAGCCATGAACACAACATGTCAATGTGTCGTCAATCTATGACTATCAACTTAGAATATCATTAAATGATTCAAGATTTATAGGCCACATTTGCTAGTGCACATTGAGTTAAAACCGCCACCTTTAGTTCCATTTGTCTTTGATGGATATCTCATCTTGCCATGTATTACTTCACATCTAGGTTGGCAATCGCAATTTGCACAATTCAACAAGCTGCTCTGGATGCTCTAATCTCTTTCTTTCATGATGGAGGTTGAAGTGACGGTACAACTCATTGCTCAAGCTATTGTGAATCTCAATTCATTGGAGCGCGTTATAAGTGACCACTATGCGGTTGAAGCAGATTTGAAGACAATGATGACTAAGACAGCGAGCTCTTCAACAACATCACATCTATTATGTCAACACCTATGATCAAATCTCCGAAATGTCAGCATATCGCATTGAAATCAACCTGCGGCTAGAAGATACTCCATCATTTTCACCTTTGCTGCCTCACGAGTTTGTCAATTTCATTTGCAAGATTCACCTTACAATTACCGCTTGGAGTAGAGATATTTATGCTATCGTGTCGATGAGCACAAGCAGCTACTCTATGTCTACATATCTTAGCATGTACTCAAACAATGCATCGATGCGCTTACTAGTGAATTAGCATTAAATTGGATATAGTTTGCTCGATTTACAATTTCCAAAATTGATAGAGTTTCGCGACGTGATCGCATACATTGTGTTATTCCTGTTGAATTGAACAATTCATTAAATTTATTATCTAATGTATCCTATGAGAAGTAAAATTAAATACATTACACAAGATTGACATAATTCATATTTTATAAAATTAGAGTTCTAAACTTATATAAAAAAAAATGTGTAATAATAAAACCTGAAAGATATATTAATTTATCATGGGAAATATATGTGAAATATAAAATAAGAGTCATTAGAAAGTAGATAGTTATACAGAAATATGGCAGTGAAAACATACCAAGAAATAAAAAATTATATATATTGGGATTTATTTTTATTGATCAATAGAATAAAATATATTTCTGAGTTTTATGATTAGTTATAAATTATTTATTTTTATAAATCAAATATTAAATTCTATTCATGAAAACATAAAAATAAAATAGGTATATAATACCATTTTTAAAAATTTAAAAGTTCTAAAAATATCCATAGGAAATTAAAAGAATCTTCATATTCAAAGAATGTGTAGATTCTTTTGCATTTGGTTGTTTACTATCGGCACAGATATAATGACAGAGATCAGCCTCAGGACGAACGAAGGATTCGACTGACAGACAACTCGTGGAAGACAGGGCATGCTGTTATTCTTTCAGGTATCGGTGCGTAGACTGTTGCAATTTCAACAGTCTAATTTGTAAATTGCAATTTACACTAGTCCGTGATGATACTCCGAAATTTGTCGCCGCTCTGTTCTGCTTCGTCTTGCGCTCGACATCTCCATCATTTCCGTGCCTTTGAAGAGCCACACTCTACCCGCTGATCGAGAATCATCGTCGTCGCTGGAAATTTCAACTCATGTTCGCCTATTTGGATTCTGTCACCTGACGCTTCGTTGCGTTCTGGAAACAATTTTGTGACATACTCCGCCATGTCTCAATGTGCCGAGTGCGGCCGAGAAAGGGCGACGGCGAAATGTTCGCGCTGCAAATCCGTTTGCTACTGCAACCGGGAGTGCCAACTGACGGCCTGGAGGGAGCACAAGGCTCATTGCAAGCCTCCTGCAGCAGCAGCAGCGATGGGCGGCGAGAGAATGGTGCTCCGTGAAGTGGAGACGGCTCGGGACACGACGAGAGCCGCTCCCGATCCGAAGACATTTCCCGCGCAGCTGCGCGATTTCGAGTACGGGAGCAGCCCGGACGGCGTGGACGAGAACCTCCTCGTCCTTCTGCACGGAAGCGGAGGCACTCACAAGGACTTCGCCACATTCGCGCGGAGGCTGGAACTCCCTCAAACCGCGTTCCTGGCCCTGACGGGACCGATCAAACTCCCGGAGGCTCTCGCAATCGGGAGCTTGTGGTTCCAAATCTTTGACGAGACCGACTTCTGTCTGCTGACGCCGGGAGACAAAAAGCGGGCGGAAACTCTGGAATCCACGAAGACTCTCTTGGAGGAGATGATCCAGGCTCTGTGCAGCCACTGCGGATGGCAGCGCAGCAAAATTTTCCTCTTCGGCTACGCCGACGGGGGCACCACGGTGTTGAATTTCGCCGTGAATTCCTGCGGCCCAGCTCGGCTCGGAGGTGCCATATCAATTTCAGGCTCGATGCTCGGAGAATATCTTCCGGCAGGTGGTCGACCGCCCTGGGAAGAGTGCAAGAAGGATTGTACCCCTGTGCTGATCACGTACGGGACGAGAGCCCCCGAGGCGGATCAGAAAGACATAATCAGGACGAAGAGGGTCTTCGACTCCTGCCACCGGAATCCGCGAGCTCAACTGGTGGGTGTCGATAAACGAGGAGAGATGGTAAGCAAACCCGACGAAGTAAGAGCTCTGCATGGGTTCTTCGCCGAGCACCTGTCTCGACGCATGGTCAATATGGAGAGCAATTCGACGCTATATGAAGTTTCCAAGTCGTAGCATCCCCTTCTCTTGTTTTCATGAACTGGCCGCATGTCGATCACGGAGAGAGCGAAAGGATGATGCTCCATCGCGCGAGCGTGGTTTCCTCACCCTGAAATCAGGACTGTGAGTACGGTAGACATTGATGGAGACCAACAATGGAGACTTTTCTTAACTCTTGATTCTAGAGGAGCAAGCTTCTCACAGCACACCGAGTGTGCCATAAGGTGGATTATCTCGCAGAAGGCAGGCTGATATTAACATGCCTCCCTTGTTAATCAATCCCGTGCCACCCAAATCCTCAAGCAGAATTATTGCACCGGTCCCTTGATGGCTTTGGGACCTCTGTTCCCTTAGAACCCTCCTCTCAGTAAAGCCGAGTACATCAGAAGAGGTGCATCGCTTGGCTTCATGAGTTTTGTACAGACCTTGGCAGCGAAGTGTACAACACTCTGTGTGATTACATCCTCAGATTGACCATGTAGAGGAGGAAGGTAGAGGAGCGGGAGGATGAGGCAATACTGGTGTCTTTGAAGGCTATGCTTCGGAGGTATCCTCTGCAGGCAGGTCCTTCCTCAGATTCTAGAGAACTTGGCGTAAAGAATTTCACATTTTTTACGTTTGTGAACAGAAGAGAGTGAAGTCGAATCTCGGGGGTGCAGGTAGAGCATCTAAACGGAAGGTAAACTGGTCGGTCCAGCTGTTGCTCCTCCACGCTTGTAGGATCGATGCAGGAACTAAAACTGCCACTAGGATCAGGTTGCCTCTCAGCTGATCCTATTCGTAGGACGGTCACAGGTCTAATTCGGTAGTGATTCTGGTGAAGGAGTTGGGATCATCGACGTCCTATACACTGCAGATGGTATACTCATTTCCTTACATTTTGAAAGTTCTCACACATTCTGATAGCTAACGCCGTTAATGAAGATCGGTTGGTGTCGATTTGCGATACAGCACAAAAAAATCGCCCTTTTTTCATCAACTAGTGCTCGTGCCTAGAGTCTGCTGATATTGAGCTAAAGCTGGGTGCAATCTTCGGTGTTCTTAGGGGTGAAGCATTCTTTGTGTGATGTCTTTTCTTTGGGGCACTTCATCCTTATGTGCAAGGTGGACTTTCTCCTCGACTTAGATGATGAGGTGGAAAGGCATGAACTTGGAGTTTTGGAACTGGGTGATTTGGGACAGGGAGAATCGGGTTGATTTGGTGGTGAAGGAGGAGCGGTCGGGGATGAGCACAGAGATTTGCTTTCCTGTTCTTTCCCTTTCTCTTTTTCTTTCTCTTTACCCTCTGGAGGAGAGTTTGAAACTGGCTTTCTGTAGTCCCATATCAAAATTGCTCCCTCTTCTCCAACCGATATGATTTTCTGCTGATCTGGGCTCACCCTTACCTGGAAGCGTTTCCACCAAAGTTCGTGTTATCACGTCAGTAGATACCACGGATTACTTCTTTTGCACAGATGTAGACAAGTATCAAATTTGCGGAGCAGACTCTTCATGTTGTCTTTTCTTCATTGTAAACGGATGGCGAATATAACGATTCGAATGGATTCACTGACGTTTCCTTGAAGGAATCGTGAGTGGAAGAAACTGAAGCTCTCGATTATAACAAGGTCAGATCAGGAGTTCTTCTTGCCAGATAATGCAAGAGCTGCAGGACCAGTCTGAAGGGTTTATAACATGAAGTGGGGCCCGGAGGCTATTGACAGATTTTCAAGCACTGAGATAACGTAAAGAATGATGAGTACCAGAGACAAAAGCGGAAGGTGATGCGATACTGAGATGTACTTGCCTTGGTAATAGGCTCACTGTGTCCATGCCCAACGAAGTAGTTGTGGCCTTCATCGTAGTTCCACAACTTGACTTCACGGTCTACACCAGCACTGACCATACCAGCACCATCTGGACTGATATCGATCGAGTACACTTCTGATGTGAGTGATCCATCCAAAATACGTATAGGTTGACAATCATACGCATCCCACCATGTTATCTGCACGGGTGGAGACGGGTTCGAGATTCAGTATCAAGTAATTTAGCTTGATCATTTGTTCTGCTCTGTAAGACTTTCTCACAATTTGGGCAAACACCTCCTCAGATTGGGTCACCACTGGCTGTGTCTCAGACCTCTCGAATACGGAATGAGCTGAGCACGTCTATATGTAACCTCTCGTCTAAAAAGTGAGCCGAGCCAGTTCTAGTGAGCTCGATGCTCATCTGCTTCATCTGTGTTTTTCATTGCCTGTGGAAAAGCTTGTCGATGATGTTTCGGATTTCGAAAAGGAACAACTCAGTTTAGTGTCTAGCCCCTACCTGCAGGCTGTCAATTCTCATAATAACCCAAGTTTCAGGAGGAAGCAGATTACCTTCCGGTCAGTTCCGGTGGTGAGGAGTTGACTTTCATCAGGATGGTACATGGCAGCTTTGAAGAAAGTGGATGCATAGAAGCTGTTATTCCTCGCAAACCTCTGCATTCAATTGAAAGTGACCGAGGATCAGTTTCGCGTTCCAATGTTTAAGAATTCCAAATTCGACTACAGTTTTTAAGCCTAGCTTACTCCAAATAATATTTTTTGAAGTTTTGCTATAAACTACAAGCCACTGGACAAGATGGGACGTTTTCACGATACTCGAATTGAACCCGAAGTGCCGAGCTGTGGCCTATGCAACAAGCAAGGAAAAGCTCACCGTGAGATCCCAAATAATGCATGATCCGTCGCTGCTGCAACTTATGCATTCGGTGTCATTCTTGCGCACCTGCCCACATGCCAATGTTCGGTTTGTCAATAAAGAATCGCTCGACCAGGAACTTTTCTGTTTCATAAGTTCCTCCAAAGTTTCGTTTCTATTAAGAAGGCAAGTTTTGTGCTGCAGGTACTGTTCAGAAGGTGGCGTTTCTCGACGTATCCCTGGCCTTGTGGACCTGGTCGCAATCAAACTTGAAATAGTACAATCTGATCTTCTAGTGTTAAGCTCAGTTACGTAGATTCGATGGCCAGCAGTTCCATGCCGACACTAGTGGGATCTACAATTAGTGTCATTGTCTTCAGTGGATGATTCGAGCCCCTCTCTAACCAGAAGACTGAAGATTGCTCCGGTCAGGTAAATTTCTGGAAGATGTGAGTGCATCTTAGCCCATCCGCCTGATCTGAACTGAGAAATTCTCTTCAGATTACTCAAAGCATGCGCTGAATTATGAATCTAGGGGGCCTCATGCATTCCTGGAAAAACCTCTCAGTTCTGTAGAATGTAGGATAGTGGTATTTACTTGAACACCGCTTATGGCTCCTCTATGCTCTTTCATGGACGCAATCAAAGAGTGGCTTTGGTTGCCAACTCTCCAAACCCGTACCTGCACATCTCCATTTCGCCACATATCAGGCCAACAAGCTCCATAACAAAAACAAACTCATGTTCTACGTTCAGAGACCTAAATCCACAAGGAAGAGTGCCGTAAATCAATTTTGTGACATGAAGGGTCCGTACCCTCCCTTCAACACCACCGCTAACAATACGACAACTATCCGAAGTAGGGCATAATGCTGTAACTCCTTGAAACGCTTTCTGCAAAATGTCCGGAAGTACAAGCCAACTCTGAGTTTTCTTGGAATGTCATCTTTTCAGTGATACTGCAAATTCTGAGACCTTAATAGACCATGCTATAACTCGACGTGATAGCCAATATTGTTATAAATATGGTTTGCATTTTCATGGAAAGCAGATGGACGTCAGCAACCAAGTGATTTAGATATAACCTGTACATCTAAACAAGTGTAGTACAAAATCAACTGCCTGAAGGGACTAGTTATATTATTATTTTTCAATGAAGGACAGACCAAGTGCTGAACTTGACAGCTTTTAAGAGACTTTCGTTAGCAGTCACCACTCCTGACTGGTGGCTTTATTTACTCCTCTTCTCACACATGCATAAGCTGACATTGATCATGATGACTGGACATAACGAAGTCGGCAATGTAAGGCCAGTCCAGTACATTTTTACCAGCCGTGGAATGCGCATCAACGATGGTGTATTGGAGCTTTCCTGTTTGTGGTCCGAAGGCTCGAATTTTACCATCAGCCCAACCTGTAATTATAGATTTTCCATCAGGCATGAATGCTAGACATAGGCACTCCTGATTTGCTGAGTCTTTGTAATCACACCATTCATTGGGAACCTGCAACCCACCCCTTGATTGTCAATTAAACGCTTAAGACATCCTACGGGATGATATTTCTTCAGGTAAAGTATCGGCACTGATACTTCAATTTTTAAATCTAAAAAAATCACACAGGTTCGTGCCTCGGAGAGTAAGGTGTGAACACACTCAATGGACGTCAACTCATGGAGATTTAATGAATGTTTTACTTAGTTTGTCGTCAGATTTCCATCACTTCACCTCAAGAATTATCTTACTCAAGCCACTTTCTTGTGGGATGTTCTTGCTGGGAAACTCCACACTACATCTTAGATCCAGTCACTAACTACACTCAGGAATCCTTGAATGATAGTGTCCATTCTGAGTTTTCAGAAGAGCAAAACCTGAATACGAAGGAGCTCCTTGAGGTCTCTGACGTCCCACATTCGGACGTCATTGGTCGAGGCGGTCGCAAAAACATCGCTATAGCCTGCTGGGAAGGCAATGTCGTTGATTTTGTTGTAATGACAAGACTGCACCAGCTCTGGAGGCATGAACTTCTGTTTCCTCCCATCGTATCTGGTGGTTGGAGGTGTACGAGTATTTCGAAGTCAGAAAAGAAGGTCATCACATCTTGAATGGTTTACTGTGAAGAAGGATTATCATGGAGAGTTTCTGCAATAATTGAAGTAATTTTCAGTCTTCTGTTCGTTTGAAGATGCACTTTGGGAAACAGCGAAAAGTATAGAGCTTGTGTTGCAGGGCATGCAACTTGAGGCACAGGTGCATTACGAGAAGGATGCTGTTGCAGAACACTCCACCAGCTGAGGCTTACTTGATCAGATAGATGTTGCTTTTATTGGTCCCGGCATAGCAGGCAAAAGAATTTCCATGTGTTTCGGCGAGAACCACCGAGGAAACAGCACCGACCAATTTACAACGCTCCATTATTCGTAAGGTTTCATTTTCAAGTAGTGTGAGTGAACCGTCACCGCCACCTGCTAGCAGATGCCCGTGCTGCGTTGAGCAAATGGACATAACTCCCAGTTCTATGATGGGTTTTGGACCCCCGTTTCGAAAGAGCTTTGGGCCTAAGCTCACCTTCATCATTATCCACACCAGACACATGTTGCCAATGGAGGAGGGCAAAAAATGAGTTTAGACTCGTTTTCATAACCTTCAGATATCTCCAATCTTAAGTAGACACAATTGGCACGAGCTACTTCAATGTCCAATAATTCTTCAGCCTCCGGAGATGGGGTCAAGTTTTAGACAATAAAGACGAGCTTATCACTCATTCGATATTAAAAACCACGAGATGAGGAACTTGTTTGGCCAGCTCAACAAGGCGAGAACTTACTCGCAATATGTCCCCTGTGTGTGTTGCCACATACATGAACTCATCTTTTGCATCGATCACCTACCAGCCAATCAACCTCTCAATTCCTTCGGCACATACTGGATTGAAAGTATCGCCAAAACCAAATGAAACAACCTCGACGCCTATTGATTAAGGTAAGGAGAAACATTTGATGCGGCTAGGTTTATATCTGTATATACTCCAAGTTTTATTATTTTCACAAGCATCGTGTTTGGCCTTCGACTTCTATCCTCAACCCTGTTCAATACGGCAAATGGATGTGCACAATGTTTCGTGAAGGAAAACGTGAATCGTGGTTTTCTGATTTTCATAAATTGGGATACGAACGATTTGTAGGTTGTACCAATGATGTGTGAATGCGCCTGAAACGTCCCACATCACAAAATTGGGGCTCCAGCATCCGATTGGGTACATCCAACTCCCACACAATAAGCTTGAAATCTCCAGCAGTGACAAGTTTGTGAGGATCATTGTTAACGAACTTCACTGCCGTTGCAAAGTCAAGCGGCACAGGACTGCCACAAATTGCAATGCCAGTACTTACTCTCCAAGCCACCAACTTGCAATCATCTTGTCCACCAGATGATATTAGATACTCATCATCACACGAGAAATCCAGAGCTTGAACCTTGACCTGTAAGCTTCGATCAAAGAACCTCCATCACCATCCATCTATCTACTCAGCGTGTACTGAGGAGATGAAAGAATGGAATTTTGTACGAGTTCAGCACATTGTAATCTCGAAGCACATGATTTTAGGGCCGATACTGGCCACAGCCTCGGAGGTTTTTAATACTACTCTTTACCTTATGAAGGCTCATCTCATGAAGCTTTTTGCGACCGGGTAAGTCCCATATGATGATTGCGGCACTGAAACCTTGGTGTGAAAGCTGCAGAAATTTAGCACTACGATTGGTCAGGCGTTCTGCAGCCAGTGAAGATTACAATCGTTGCTCTGAACCTCTCCAACTGTAACAACTGAACTTGCAGGCACAAGTTTTAAATGCTGAAATTCAATTCACTGTGTATGATTTTTGGTTTGATGAAGAACTGCAGCAACAAGTAATATCGAATCCATTAATCAGTCAGTTAAGGACAACCAATTCAAGTCTTGATGCAGACCTGACCACTGGCAAGATACCTCCCGGACTTTGAGCAAGCTACGACCGAGACTCGATTCGTGTGGCCTTGCAGAAACTCCTGTGAACGCATATTGTTCTGAATTCACCAACAGAGCACTTGAGTAGTTAATTAATGCGAATCTCCTCGTTTCTTGTGACAGGCTCCCGACCAGCTTTACCAGTATAGTAGAGCGAAGAATTGATCGCAATAGAGTTCAATACCTTGTCACGTTTACGTTTGTCATATGGACAAGATTTGCGGAGTCATCAATCATTTGTAAGCAGAAGCATTTCAACATTGTCTAATGTATTACACAAATTATGGTGCACTTTGTCAGGAACTGAAGACTTGCTTGCTAAACTTTGTCACAAACAGTACTCGCTAGTATGACCACGTCATAGACCGAAGATTATGTATATGGTAGCTCATGATGATGCCATTATGTCTTCACGTTACACAGAGACCTCGATCTTTGCTGGTTGACAACTTTTGAATTACAGGATTGTCCCGGGCGCTGAATTCATGCCACGTGTTGTCGAAATGCCAAGCCCTGCTGCTACAGGAATTTGCTTGACAAGAGATCACCAGGACCCACATCTCTCCCCGTGGGTCTCTAGCTCGTGAACAATGCCACATGCACCTCGATGGGCGGCACAAGAAGCAGAGACGAGAGGGAGAGACAAAATGCTGGAGGAGTGGACCTCTCTCTGCTTCTGATCAACTATGGAGACCAGTTAGTTGACTGGCAAGGATCGTGCATTCTTCGTTAAGGACATGTGTGGGGCCGCATGGTTCATCTATGACAGTAACTTGCAAAATGTAACGACAGCTGAAGGGAACTGAAGATCTGCTGTCGACAGGTAGGAGTTGTCTCCAGTGTTGACCATGCGGTTGGCGAAATGCAGACATCAACTCACTTCAAGTTTAAAAGTGCCTTTCTGGAGGGGCTTGGACATACATGCATATGGTAAAACTCGATTTCTTTTGAGAAGCTTTCCCGGGCCAAGACAGAGAAGTTAAAATCAGCTGAAGGGAAGAGACAGGACGAGATCTATACAAGGGTTCAACACAGGAACTGCAGATCCTATCTGAGTTCAAGCACCAGGAAATTCTGCAGGAGAAGCATTTGGTCAAAAGAACTAGAGAGTCCTCAGAACTGGAGCTCGGGAGGTTGCTTCTGGACTTCATAGGGATATCGAGAGGTGAGCTGTGAAAGCAGCGAATTGGAGCGAGACTCCATGAAATTGCCCCATCCACGACACATCATCGTTGCGAACTGACGGCCAAAACCAGCAGGAAGTAGGGTTTAGTAAGAGGTCTGATGTGAGCGCAACCTACTTCGCCTCTGATTTTGCAGCAGCTGTGTATGGAGATCGAGTCAACACACGGAGCAAGTCCTTCAGACCAGAAGAGGTGCAACTAATACCACGACGAGTTTTGGAGCGCATTTTGGAGAAGTTTTCAGCTGACAGAGCAGCAGCTGAAGTACAACTAGATCTACGATGTCCATGCCTCATCGAATTGCAGAAGTGAAAGGCTAGGGAGATGCTTTTGAAGGATCAAAAGCGGAATACCATCAGAGGCAAAGTAGAGAAGTGTTCAGCATTTATGGCCCTTCATCACTACTAGCTCTCAGCCTTCTTCAGATCCAAACTCTTGAGTAGGCTCCGTAACAACGGCCATGGACTCCACACTTGATAATCACACGGCCTCCATCTCTGCCGCGATGTGCTTCTCGCTGGACTTGATCAGTCAAACCTCTGCATGTATATTCAGCAAGGAATTGCGCAGCAGCAGGTGGATAGGAACTGTTGTCATATTGCAGACAAAGTTCAGGCAAAGGGCCGTTCGTGGACAATGGATTCTACATTTGACTGCTTCGCCCACGCGCCATTATTGCAGTTTACGGAAAGCGAGTAAGGCTTCCGAGGACCATGACGTCCATGAAGCCTCGCAAGGTAAGTCCCCGCATGGCCAGAGAAAGTGAGGAACAAAATGCTGCACGAGATCTGGCTGTCGGGCAGATCGAGAGAGTAGTCCGCGGTGGATACTCTAACACAGGTCAATGTGAATTTCTGAATCTAGAGAGGAAAAGGGGGAACTGTGCACGTACTTCACTGCAGAGAATCCACTTCCAGAGACTGAAGATCTCACATGAAGCTCCTCCACTTGCTACTACGATTGAGATTCATATTCATATTGGGAACATGCACATGAGCCAATCAAGAGCTTTTCCAGTTAATTCATCAACAAAGTCCTCAGGCTAGCTTTGAGATTCCGTAGAAGAAGTAAGCTGGTGGAGAGAAATCAGGATCACGACAGTCCTTGTGACGATAGTCTGAGCTCAGGGACACTCTGGCCCTGGAGGTTGACATAGTCGAATCCTTGCGGTAGAGGTTGCTTGAGAACCTTGAGTTTCTGGAACTGGAATCTCCGCACTCCAGCTGAGACTCAAGAGATCTACAATGTCAACCTTTCTCGCCCTAAAATCGTCGCTGTCTCGAGGAGCAAAAGGCAACTGATTCCATAACTAGAATTAGTCCAGATCCGTTTTGAGGGACATGGTCAACTCACATGCACGGCCTTGTGCTTTTTTATCTGCAGTGCTGAATTATTGTCTCGGAATCTCCAAGGTTAGCACTGTGGCGAGCAGCGAATGAGTCACAACTGCTATGCGACTGGAGATAGAAAGGAGGGAGGCAAAACGATTGCAATGAAGAGAAAAAGAAAGGGATCTGCCATGGATTCCCCGGAGGTCGTCCTCGTCCTGAACTCGCCCCATTGACAGATTCCTCTTCCAAATGCAGATCCAGGGAACTCGCGCACCAAAGGAGGACATCTTTGCATCTCAAGGGTGCAATCGTGCAGCCCAGCCGCTCTGACAACAATTGCTTGTTATCCGGTCTGAGCACACGCTACAGTCGGTCTCGTGAATGCTCAAAAGGACGATGTGAGATCGAGGTCACATCGCTCAAACACGCAGACGTGAGATACGGTGCTGGAACCAGCATTGTCTGGTGGAGACAGAGAAGGAGACGACTGGTCAACCCCATGTGCGTCCATCCTCCTGGTTCCAAGACGCAGGTATGCCCGGGCTTTCCATCGAAATGTACTCGTGAACTGTACTCTACGGAATATCTTGACGAAATCGTATGCAAAGAGAAGAATAGAAAAGAAAAACCAGAGCAAAGGCAGGGTCGGCCCCATAATTCGAGGTTCTGACAACCGGCGGCACTGTGTTCGTTAAATTGTTCGCACAGTTCTAAAGTAGATTGCTCTTGAACCAGTCACGGTTTTTCGTTTCTTACTCCACTCATGGTCGACAATTCCGGGGATCGCTTGCAGCTTAAATTTTTTTATCTTGTCATGGACCCACTGGAAAGAACTGATGGAGAATTATGGCCATAAACCCCTTCGTCTCCGCCACATGAGCCTTGTTCCGTGAGCCATCCATCCATGGAATAGTTTACAGGTGAGCTTTACTATAGAGGGTGATCGTACTGAGACAGACAGAGAGAGAGAGAATGGGGTCGTGTACGAACTCGATTGCGCAAGACGATCGTAGTGCCGAGGGGATAAATTATCATGCTCTTGTCGGGACTGAGCAAAAGGCTGCACGGCACCATGCCCGCAAACCCTATGCATGAGTCCAGTGGAAGCGGACGCAACGCCATCTCGTCACACTCTGGTGATCCGAGCCCTGCAACCGAACGAGAGACGGGCAAGCAATCGACCCCGCCTTCAAGCTTCCCCGCTTTCTAGCACGGCCGTTTCGAAGCTCGAACTCGTACTCTCCATGGCACAAACTTTTGAACGTGAGACACAAATCCAAAACACCCCATTGCTCGAATTCCACAATCTCCGTGGCCAATAGCCACCCTCAATTTGACTCACGGCTTCTGCTGATAAAATCTGCCATCTCTTTGTGGGAATCCTCCATTCTTCACGACGAAAGCAGCCAGGCTTTCGTCAAAAGGCCCACCGCCAATGCCGCAATGAACTCGGAGTCCACGGGGGAGTTCGACCGCATCCCGGCTTCCAGGACTCGATGGCTGTCGAACCTTTCGGACTGCCCTGACACCCTGTCCGCTCAATAACTCGTGCACGGACGCTCTCTGCCACCGCTCGTCCTCACTCCAGAGCGGAGGATAGGGCACGAGCCATGGAGCGACTCAAGAATTCGAAAAAAGGTGCGAATGTTCTAACCGAGCCATCAATTCCTCCGACGGTCTTCTCCGTCATAACTCTCGAGAGCGAGGGACGGAGCCGTGAGTAAAGAGTGTGCGGACGTAGTGAGTGAGCTCCATGGAATCCTCGACAGCTCACATGCATCCCCCTCTGCCCCTCTCCTCGTTAATTATGCGTCGATTCTTTCGCCTTTTGAGACCAGCACCGCCTTCTCAAGCGATCTTCGGCAGGAATCAATTCTAACCGCTAGAAGTCTTTGGTCCCGGGATCCCGAAGGCACCGTCCTTGCCGAAGGGGAAGGGAAAGGTCGGATCGGGTCGTTACCAGTTGGTTCACATCGTCCGAGTCTTCAATGCGCGGCCCTCGACTCCATCGACTTTTAAGGACGGACAAGTGCGAAACCAACGACCGAATTTCAGGACATTTTCTCATCCTTCTGGTTCAATTTTAGGCAACGCTCTCGCGAGGAAAATTTGACAGCATCGCAGATTATTCGCGTCGAGTGCTCCTCGATCGGACTCTTCCCATCACGTCGGAAAGCACCTCCCAATCATTTAACAATTGGCGCCAGGAAGTACATGAGACCACTGCACGGGTACATTCATTGGCCTCGATCTCGAAGGACTTTGCAGCGTCATGCGTACGGCAAAAAGACGTCATTCCGAGTCTCATACGTATTGTTGGTATTCGATGATGGAGAAGAACGTATTTTTAGTTCTTCTCCATCATCGAATGAGGATGTGTATGTACTTCATGATTGACGTACTGCCTGTAGAGCACACAGTCGCTACTCGTACATGGTCGTCTCTGAACATCTTATCCATTGTCATGTTCAGTATCGTGCAGATACAGTAACAGATCTAAAGGCTGGAGGCGTGTGTGGCTTCCACTCTTTGCTGCCTGCAAATATTAAAATATTATCATCGATTCGCGGGCTATCTTAATTTGCTTCTCTATTTCCTGGCTTAGAACAAATTTGAGCTGGGTGTTGAACACAACGCGCTCACTCCATCCGGTAAATGGATGGGAGGTGAATGTTGTGATTGATGTAGCACCAAGTGTATATGTTGATAGGATGGCGGTTCAGGAAAGGAAGGTAACATATTTCGGTGGGATATTAGTCTTATCTTGGCGACCGAAAGTGATGTCAAGGTAAATACATAGTTCACTCATGTTCACTTATGTCAAATTTCTATGGCAAAAACTTGAATGAATTCTGGTTATACATTTTTGCCTTCGTTAAAGGAAAGAATTTTTCATAATTTTTTGCACTTTCTGTTGCAAACCCAAGTTCTGTACAGCTGGCCGTCAATATTCACGACAGTTTTAGCTATGGTACCACTATGTCCTAAGAAAATTATTATATTCGTCTACGGCTGTAAAAAGAAATTGAGTGAGCCATCATGGTCAAGACTTGGTTTTTCTTTTAAGAACCAAAGTGAGAGCTTATAATTTCTAATCTGAAATGCTGTAGTATGCTTCACTGTGAGAAACATGACATCTGGGCAATACCGGATACCAAGCGGTATCTGCCTTTTTGCCCAAATGTGACCCTACCATCATGATTCCCTCAAAGTGGTATAAGAGAACGATGTGTCCAGATAGATCGATATAATAAGTAGCGGGACGGACCAAGATATGACGAACATGTCAAACAGTTTTACGCTTACAAGATTAAAATAGGCCACATATCGAAAGGATCTTGAAGATAATACTTCAGTAGTAGCGGTCCTGGTAGAACTGGATTTTAGGACATGTGCTGGATTCTGATTATTATTAAAGCTTTAGCTAACACACATCTTGCGGATCTTATGGAGACAGTACATAAAACTCATGTCGTCATTGCTTAGACCTCACCGCCTGCAGAAATATATGGTGTAGACGCACTAACATAACCGAAAGAATCAATCTCTATAGTGAATGTATAGCTGGATGAAATAAGCTTTTATCTTTGACCTTAGCAACTTCTATGCCCCAAATTCTCGGGCTTTATAATATAAATTCATCCAACAGCATGGACATATATTCGATGCACAAATGACGTCCTGAAAATTGAAAGTTCATGAAAATTTCAGTTTTCTAATTCAATATGAATTGCAAATATATCGTTAGCTTGCAGATGCGATGTTGAATTTTTCAGTCATGATTGAAATGATAACCCCTGAATCATGGTTACTGAAATGTCCTTGAAGTATGTTGGAAGAAAATGCTCTCATGTCATGTATGTAAGGTGATTATTCTTGGTGTTGGTACGTAAGATCCTCATGAAATATACGGCACAACATGCTACAATTACAGTGCAAGCAGTCATGACCTTGAATCCATCCAGAAAGTCGCCGATGATGTACTGTAACTGCGCATGATAATGACCATGGGCCCGAGAAAGCTTCTACTGTCTATTTGAAGTTTTCTCAGGAAAAAAGTGATTTCAGATCATAACTATTCATTTTCATTCACATTTATGTATAGTACGTATGGCTTGAAACTTCGTTATAAGATTAGGATCCAACAAGATGAAATCACATATTCCATGCAAAACTCCATACGACTGAGCAATTGAAGAATCTCTTTTACTTATATTGAAGACACCTCGTCATTCAATGCCGTTTGGTTTCCACCTGCCAAAATATTTGAAATCGGATAGAAGTAGTAGATCCTGACAACTACCTTAGACAATTCAAAATGAAATATGAACAGTTACTAGTTGTGTTGGAATACAATATGAATCATGACTGTGGATAAATGAATGGTAAAAATTTAAAATTTAGAATTTTAATGAGTCTACTTTGATGTTATTATATCTACTGATTATTACATATCTTTTCAAGCTCACAGAAATTGTATACAAAAGTTAAAGAGTATTTTTTCTGCAATTTTATAGTGCTGAATGCATAACGATGAAGAATATTGATCCATCAAGCATTTATTGAATTAATTATCTAGTTCAAATTTGTTATTTGCATATGAAGCTCTTGATGACACCAAATTCTACCCTAAAATCATATAATCATCCTTAATATCGATTAAAATGCAAACATCATCGTAGAAAAACTAAATCTTACTCTATGGTTAAGCTTCAACGTGTTAATTACCTTTCTTTCTTCCTTGAATTTATTCATTTTATATTATAAAAAACCAAGACAACATTTTGTAATAGATGATTTAACAATTTGTTCATTCATGACATACCTGAACATCTTATGGGTCATCGTACTGACTCTAATCTTTTAAACTTCTACACTTGATTTTCTTGACAAAGTATTCAGATGTTTAAACTCTTGACACTGGTTGAGCCCGAAGTTTGGTTTGATTCATCTTCATCATCATACGAGGTTTTGGAAATGACTTGGCCAACATAAACTTATAGTATGTTATATGTGATGAAATATTATATTTTTTGCATTTTTTACTTGAAAAAGAATTTTAAAAATACTTACGTGGTAATTTTGGACACAATAATGTCAGAAGGCGGATTGATGTAGATTCACTATGTACGGATTTAGATTGACATATGATTATGCTCTAAAAACAAGAATTATGCTTTCAAAATTTACAGATATTCCTATGGATTGTGTTCAAATTATCACTTGATTCATATCTTATGAAGAGCAAGTCAAGAAATCTATCAATAAGGTTTTGACATAACAAAAGTGTGCTGTTAAACTTTGTGTGTTTAACGTAATGAATCAGTTAGATATAGAGTCAAATACAATCATGAACATTCAAACTTCAAACTGTTTTCTTCACTTTTGAACATCCACTGATTTTGTTGACAAACAAACATATGGATTAGAATCATGTACTCCTAGTATATATTTCTCTTTTCATCAAGATGACGGAAAATATTTGTGCAATAAATTTTAAAAACTAGCCAAAGAATGGCATGTCTTTTCAATTTCTATTGATAACTTTCAGATAATAGTGATTTACAATATGCCGAGATAAAAAAATACACGGCATTGGTCGAAACATATTATTAAGCTTTAATATAATGAGGTCGAGTGTGTTTTGAAATATAGGGTTGAGTAATTAAGTGTAATAAAGTTTCTATCATCACGAAAAATTTCTTATTTCGGCTAAAGAAATTACAGGGATAATGTGCTAATTAAATACATGGAGAGAAAGTTACATGCACATTTCCTCAAGCTCCTTATACACACATCATACATGCGTTTATAAACTCCACATCTCAGGATTCTTCTGTGGTGCAGAAGGTCTTTTGTATATTTAAATTTCATTTCTACTTTACTTTATATTTCTCAATTTAATAAGCTCTTTCTTACCAATATTATCTCTGAAAATGACATAAAATTATTTTTTCGTGCTTTATTGATTGTATCATTTATCACATTGCATTATAAGTCATATTCTATACGTGTGCAATAAACTCTCAAAGATATCACTGTACGATACTATCACATGACAGCTCACGAAGAAACTCGGCCACAACCCAATCTTACCTGGAATATGACTACTTTCTCGGACACAATCAAAAGGAGAGAGAATATTGTTGTTTATATAGAATATTATCAAAAGGCTAGCGTCTGCTCCATAATAATAGAAAGGAGTAGCTTTGAGGGTAACCTCATTAGCTTCCCCTACACTTTCTCTAGAATGTGCATTTATTTTTTCGCTTCTCTGTCCTAAGATCATAGCTGAGCATAATTGGAAGGCTGATCAAGGGGATCAAAAGAAATCGAAGTACTAGAGACTGTTAATGACTGCTCGTTACTTCATACTCTTCAATGCCGAGAAGGAGATCAGAACAATCTGCAAGTGTAGCTCTTTTACTCACTTTAGCCTTTCATCCAATGATTTCCAATCTGCATAGGGCTAGACGTGAGAAAATAGCCACCAAGGTGAAATATGACATCATCCACCGCAAAGACTTCAAGCAATGAAAATTCCTAAGTTTCCTGCATTACAAGCTACGCATAGAAGAAATACGACGGGATGAAGAGGACTCCTCATAAAAAATAACTTCCCTGCATTACAAGTGCTAATTTGTTCTGACTTAGATAATTAGCTGCAGAAGGAAGTAACAAGTGTCCATGAACTCGCGAATGGAAGAGAAACATACGTTATAGGAGATGCTTTACCAACATCTTGCTCTCCAAGTGCCGTAGGAATGATTCAATAAGAGGAACCCGTTCGTCAGAGACAATGGCAGCAGCAAAGTCTATCCAGTTCAGGCTGCATCTTGATTGATGACCCCAAGTGTACTATGATAAATATTTAATGAGTGAGAGAACTAGGCACATTCGATAAACGTTGAAATAATCCGGCTAGCTTATGGACGATCATAATGTTGTATACTTCCATTGGATTCTTCAGTGATCTACAGAAGTTGAGATGTAGAGTAAGAATGTCACCAAACTATATCAGTCAACACGTTTCTTACTATACTTGATCTTCACGTCTGGAAACTCAAAAGGACTTATACTTCATTACTTCCTACGTTGTGAATAGAGCTAATATCAGCAAATTAATTTCAGTTTGATGGCCCCTATACGTAGAGATTTTGTAGGAA